CCGCGGCTTCACAAGTACAAATGAAGCCACGCCGACCAAGTTGGCCTCGTACGAGGGCTCGATCTCCACCAATACCTCGATGGACACACGACAAGAGGGGCCCAACGTCAACAACGTGCGCAACGGATAATGCGGCCTGCGGATCAATCTGCACACTTTTTTCGCACCCTGTCGAGGAGAACATATGTACCTCTTCGCATGTCGACGGCGTGCGAGATGGGAAGAAAGGTAGCAGATCCGCTTTGACGATATACTCGACGACCGTTCAGGTTTGCAACGACGCCGATCCAGCGATGCAGAGTCTGATCTGACAAGCGCCCTTGCTTTCATCACAGTTCTCGCATCACACTCAACGACGACGGACCGCCCCAAGTTCGAGTCCCTTTCCTCGTGCACGTCTTCTCGGGCCAGGACGACGAGGGGATCGACACGCTCTCAAAGCTGGAGCGCATCTTTTGCATCAGCGAGAGAGACTGGGTCTGCCTATGATGCAGTCGAAGAAGTTCACTACGTCGTTGTTGGGGAGGAGATCCCTTCACAAGTACTCGGTATAGTAATTCTGGCTCCGTCTTCGGCACTTCAGAACATCTCGACTCTACCCTATAGACAGAAACAAGACGAGAAGAATAATACTCTGCCATGCTTGCTTGGGCACAGATATACAGACAGTACCATATATCGCTTTGGGGCCTTCTACTCGTACTCAATCACGGCACGGGAAAGGTGGTATACTACAACAATAGTACATTGACTTCTAGTGCAACATATCTCAAATACTTGTTTACACATCCTTGTTGTCCCCAGCCTAATTCGGCTTCAGTCGCTTCACCACCCACGCCATAACCGTGGTGGAAGGCATTGCAGCGTTCCGTCTTAGTCCGATTCGAACTTTGTCTCTCTTGTATCCATACACAGTCCTCATATTCCGCTCTCCCGTCGCAAGGTCTTCCAGAGATATCGACAATTCTGACTTCCAGCACCAAATGAAAGTAGCATGATACATAGCAAAAGTGTACATCGCTCGACATCTTCAAAACTCACTTTTCGGCCTCGCGGCCACAAACACGTCTTGCCTGGAAACCTCTATATCCCCACGCCCACCAAAAATACATCACGTTTGAATACAACATAGACTGTCGGCTGAGCGCTCGCTGCTCCTGTAGAAGCAGACCAGTCACGCCGCTCTCTCAGTGCTTGCCAGTCTGTTGACCTCCAATCAGGCATGCAGAGCGGCTGGAAATTCGAATCATGTTTGTAGGTAAAGACCAGAGTAATCCTGTAGGTGCCTCTGAACGCCAGTGTCTGCCAATGGATAGCCGTCCTTGATTTTAAGGTGATGAGGTGGCGGCGGTCCTTAGTTTCGTATTGGGGGTTCGCACTGTCCCGGCCTCTGAAAGCCGAGCGCAAACCGACCAAGCTCGCCGGTGACTGGAGATAATGTTTTCGCCAATCCCAGTTGCCGAGTTGATACAGGTGGTAGACTCTCTTCGCATCGAAGGAGTTCAGCCACTAAGAGCGTCGTTAGGTATTCTCCTGTCACTTAATATTACAACATCAAAATCATGCCATGTAGAAGAGGCGCCACCATGTTGTACAGGTGAGAAGTTTCTCATGTATTTTCATATGAGTCAACCTCGGCAGCAGAATACTTTCTTCCACCACGGGACATAGCTGTTGTTGTTGTCATCATCGAAGCCTGATTTCTCGGTGGGTGGTAGGGGATTGGGGATGGATGGCTGTCGATTTGGTTGCATCGAGGCCGGCATCTGGTAGGTCGACACTCCGGCACCACTAACATTAGGAGTATGGCCCTTGGAGGTAAAGTGTGGTTGATGGGGTAAGGAGCCGGCACCAGCACCATGTTGTCTCCTCGCCTCAACGACTCTGCGAACGATCACTGTCAAAGTACGTTAGCGGCGGCTGTGGTGGGTGGAAGTGCAGGGTCCACTTACGGGCAAACGTCTCCTCGATGTTGACCATCTCTCGAGCACTTGTCTCCATGAAACCACAGTTTCTGCTCTTGGCCCATTCCCAGCCCACTTTGCTGCTGACGACTCTGGCATCTTTGAGATCGCATTTGTTGCCGGCAACGATCTTGATGGGAGGAAACTTCCATCCATCTTCTCTCCTGCCGCGAACCTTGGCTCCCTTCTCCCGGAGCAACCTGGAGTTCTCTTCGACTCTGTTCTCGGCTTCGATGTCGATCATGTCGAGAAACCACTGAAGCCCGTCGAGAGAGGCAGCGTTGGTGATATCGTACACGAGGAGAAAGGCGTCAGACTGGAGATTGGAAGCAGCCCACAAACTTCGGTACTCTTCCTGACCGGCCGTGTCAGTGAGTGAGAGATAATAGTTTAAGCCGTCCACTGTTCGAGTCACCGAGTACGAGTCCTCGATGGTGGGATCATATCTGTTAAAGAGTTAGCAGGCCCCCTTTTGTGAGAGGGGCAAGGGGAGCGACGTACTCAGAAGTCCACTGGGATCTGACGAGGCGCAGTGTAATGGACGATTTGCCTGCAGAAAAGAAACATCAGCCAAGCGTTCTGCATGCGCCAGCGGCATGGAAAAGGCGAGAAACGCACCGCAACCTCCGTCGCCGCATATGGTGATGGAGATTTTGTCCGCCATGGTGGGATGGTCGACGAGGAGTCTACCAGACTGGTCCCCCTCTTGAAACAAAGCACTTTGGAGCTGGTGTGAAGGGTTCTGCCCACTGTAGTCGAGGAAGCTGCGATCTTGCAGAAAGACGAAGTCCGGGAGAAGGTGGGAGCAGCCTTTATTGTGACGAAGCGACAATCTGAGAGATGGGGTACTGCGCACGGATGCGATCTGGAATGGATTCCGAGGACTATTTGCGTCCCGGTCCTCACGATTTGGATCTGCACTGGAGGACTTGCTTTATTCGTATTGACAGGGGCAGAGCAGCGACGCAGCCACGACCCGATGGTCAGGAGGTCGAGAAAGAGATTCGCAGCGTTGTCGCAAGAAGTCGGGACGAGAAAGTCAAGAGACTCGCAATAGTCGGAACTGAAGTGGGAGGCAATTTAATGCTGGGCCGGAGAAGTCGAGGAATGCAAGCAGGTTGCTACTAGTAGTGGGATGGAGTGGGCGCAAAGGTGCAGGAGGCAGATGCGAGGATGGCCCGTGGGATGTTGATATTGACGGATTGGCCGATGAGGTTGATGACCAAGGTCGCACTGAATGATATAGGAGGCGCAGGGTATTGGGTATTGGGTATTGGGTGTATCGGAAGTGACAATAGGACTTTGGGGTGTGATTGAGGAGAGGGGGAAGTGTGAGGATAGAAATGTGTGGTTGGAAATGTTGAAGCAGGTAGTGTGAGAGACGAGGTTCGGGAAGGCTGGATTTGCGACCAGGGGGGTTCACACTGGCACCCACACGCCCACTTTCCGTACTTGTACTTACTTACTTTGTACTTGGAGGGTAGTCCTTCTCTTTACCAGGATCCTGCTCAGGGCATTGGGTGTGGGCGCCGAGATGTGGGACGCGGCTTTCCAAAGACAGTCAGTTGGGCATTGGAACGAGGATAATCCGGCATCGAGTCAGTCAACATGATGGAATGATGGTCTGTCTATCGCGATTGGTAGCGTCAGCATCAACGAGGCGGCTTAAACAGGACAGAAGTGATGCTCAAGCGAGATGGTAGAGTTACATGGGGGAAAAAAGCGCAGGCTCTTCCTGCTCCTTGCGCACAAAAAGGGATCATAAAAAGGATCATAAAGGGACCAAGCTTTGCCGGGGAAGCAGGGGAAGACAAGGAGAGTGATGATTGAAACACCGACTGGACGGAACAGCCTGGTGAGCCGTTAGGAAAGAGGCCAAAGGGTGTGCGGGGCCAGGGTCCAGGGCCAATGGGCCGAGGAATAGGCAAGCCCTGGGCAACCCTAGGCAACCCTAGCAACTAGCCTAGGGGGACGAGTGCCCCTCGGTGTCCCACCACCAACCGCCAGTGGGTGACCAGAAGCACCAGAACTTAACTAAGAAGTCAACTAGGGCCCCTCGACCCCCCCCCCCCCCCCCACCGACACTCAGCCTACTGTAACGAGTAGGCACTGTACCCAGTACCTACCTAGAAAAGCCCAGGAAGCAAGGCAGCCAGTTGGGCAGCAAAGGTGCCGAGACTGATTGTCACCACTGTCGATCATTCTTGTTCCTCTAACCGACCATCACCGTCCTGCTTGTCGCCCCCCTCGTCACCATCATCACTCACTTTCTCCAGCCATCGTAAGTACAGTACGAGGTATCTTCGCCAACTTCGCCAACTTCGTCCCCCAGCCACAGATGCTCCCTCCAATTATTCCCTTCTCCGTGTCATCCGTTCCTCCCTCCCTCCCTCTCAGCCCCCCCCTTCAGCCTTGTGCGTATTCTCGTGGATTAGGCCTCTCGTGCCGCTGAGGCCCCCAATGCGGCCGCACGGGCCTGGACAAATATAGCCTCCCCCAGACTCTTGCCATCGCTGCTGTCCAGCGCTTACAAACTTTCATCCTCTGTCCGTCTTCTCGATGATTCTTGTGTTCTATGAAACGAAGGACGGAGTATTGGAAATGCCCACTCCGTTAAGGCCCAGCGTGACTCGGTATGACTTTTGCGCGTCGGTGGTTTCCCCTGCATTCGAGCACCGCCCGTCTGAGCGATGTATTTCGCCCCCATCTCTGCCAAAATGCCCCTACTTGAAAGACTCGCCATCCTGTGGCTGATGTTGTTGGTCAACCCGCCTCTTCGCAGCTGCCTACATAGCTGGACGCTAGAGATTGTGCTATTTGCAGGATTCAGGACTTATGCCCGTCGATATATACCGTCAGCTATGGCGTCGATTTACTGCTGGCCCTGCCGAAAGCAGCACTGACCCTCTTTGCGACCGGTCCAACAACGTGGATATGGAAGAACTCTCCAGCAGTCAATCTAGCACCCGGAGTCGAGTGGCATCTCATTCAACATCCTCGAAGGGTACCGCAAGCCGGCCGTCATGGTGGACGCGGATGAGTTTGGACAATTGGGCATGGGAATTGTCAGCAGCCCTGCTATGTATCTGCATTCTCTCTGCAATTGCCGCCATTCTATTTGTATATGACAACCGGCCTGTTCCAGATCTACCAGATGGGTTGACGGTGAGTCGTCCGTGTTGGCTTGCCCCCCTCAGTTTCAGCCGTTCTAATGTCTGGTTTAGATCAACGCAATCGTGTCTCTTCTCGCGGGCTTTGCAAAGGCTGCCCTGCTGGCAGTATTGGCGTCCGCTATACGTCAAGAGAAGTGGCTTTGGTTCATTGGAAAACCACGGCCACTCAACACCGTCGACGCTTTCGAAGAGGCCAGCCGCGGCCCGTACGGTTCTGTTCTACTCATCCTGAGTCGCCGAGGCAGTCTCCGAGCTCTGCTCGCCGCATCGGTCACCGTCCTGGCTCTGGGCTTTGAACCTTTTCTTCAACAAGTTCTGAACACGGTAGTTCGCGACACCGCTATTTCCTCCCAACCTGCCTCGATCCGTACTCCGACTTCATACAATGAATCAGTGATTGGAAATCTGGGTGGCTCGGGCTTGTCATTGAGCGCTTTGATCGGAGCATTTGGTGGGGCAGCAGGGGCAATCCCAAATCCCATTTGCCCCAGTGGAAATTGCACATGGCCGGCGTACAACACTCTTGCAATGTGCACTATGTGTAAAGACATGACGGACAAGGTCAAACTCGGCGGAGACGTATACAAGATCAACTTGACCTCCCATTTTGAGCAGTTCTCTCAAAGCAATCGAACGTCGTCCTCCACCACTTGGACGCCAACCTATTCGTTCCCACACGGCAATGCCGTTGATGTCTCCGTATCCCTTGACCTGTCGTTGGCGAGCGCCGTGCAGTGGTTCGTGAGCTATCCCCGCCGCGTGGTGTGGCCACTGAATATCGACCCTGCGCCCGACAGTCACTGGGGCAAGAGCTGGGACAACAAGTCATATGCTGGGATCGCTTCTCCTCTATTTGCCATGGGCTACCTGGATATCAACACAACCTCCTCTTTCGACCAGCTGGTGGTCCAAGGTGCCACAGAATGTGCTTTTACACCGTGTGTGCGGACAATGGACACGGCCGTTCGCTCCGGCACGACCATTTCCAACGCAGCAGCCACAGACTACGGCGCCATCATCATCAATCAGAATCAACCCGATGGTCGCATTCTGACAGGCTGGAACACAGAAGTGAACGGCACCAATTATTTCGCCTATGACGCCGGCAATGACGACGCTCAGGGTCGGGCATTCTTGCTTATCCAAGCCCTCCGGATCGCCCTCGAGGGAAATACGACTTACAGTTACGGAGGTTACTGGTACTCAGACCCCGCTCAGCAAGGAGACATCTTCAATTTCTCCTCGACCGGCTTCAGCCAAGTCTCTGGGCCTTGGAGCTCTGCGGGTCAGCAGGCAATCGACGGAAACGGGAATTTTAGCGACATCGTTGATGGCGTCGGGCGAGCACTGACGGGTCGCTTCCAGCAGCTGCAAGACAGCGTCGCCACTGGCACAACTCTCCACAGCGAGGCGGTGATCGTAGTACGCTGGCAATGGATCAGTTATCCGCTGGCCCTCGTCGTTCTCGGGCTGGCAGGGCTCGTGCTGACGATTATCTCCACGCATCGCAACGGCATGGCGGTGTGGAAGGAGTCGACACTCCCTCTCCTCTTCCGCTATACAGCACCGGCGGTCGAACTACGACAACCCCACAGCACTCCTCCCGGCGGACAGGGTCGGCCTAGCACGACCTTCTCATTTTCAAACACTATCCCCGGCGCCCCCAATTCGAACAAGGTCAGTTCGATCGTGACGCAGGCCTCGGGGGAGCAAGTGCAGCTGCGTCGTCGCGATTCGTTCTGGGTCCTGGACTCGGATCCCAGGAGCGGTAGCAGTTACAAGGGACATTTGGCGCAACAGCCGATATGACATCAAGTATGATAGAGACGATGGTAAGAAATTGCGGCCGGCCTTTTGACCCATTTTATTTTATTTCATTTGTTTTTCCCAACTTGTTGTCTTCCGTTATCTAAGGCTGTGTTTCTGTGACTGTGACCGTGACCGTTTGTTCCCTGTGTCTTTGCTTTCTCTCTCTCTCTCTCTCTCTCTCTCTCTCTCTCTCTCGCTTACCTTTTCCCCCATTTGTATCCTCCCATCTATCCGTCCTCGGACCACTGCATCCTTATGGCGGCCTTGATGTTGCCAGACAAGTCTGCCTTCACCGTCTTAATTTTATCCGGCTCACGCCCACGGCCAAGTTGACGACCTGTTGGTTCTTTCTTACCCTCCTAACTAGTTACTACTATCTGTTTTCACAATCACAATCAGACCAGACAAGACCCTGCAGGACACGTTGAATGGCCCAAGGCACAGCCTGACTATTGGGTTCGGTCAGGGACACGGTATGGACGTACCTAGTTAGGTACTATTCTATGTTACGGAGTACATAGGTATGTCCAAGTGATATGTATAATTCCGTGCAGAGGTATGTAGCCGGACCAAAAGCCTGAAAATACATCACGATCAAGTTAAATCAATTTCGTACCTAGCTAGCTCGTTTCTCTCCTTTGCAGGCAGGCGTGATTAAACATAGCATACGTACGTGTGTCGTCGTGTATCGTGTATCGTGTACCGTATCAGACGAAAAAGGTCATGCCTCGTGAATCCCCAGCGGCCAAATAGGTTGGGCCCGGCAAGCTGGAATACAACTTAATCCCCTCACATTTCGTCCGGCTCTTTCGCTTCATGTGGCTGGCAAAGTTGTATCTGATCGTGGAAATGTCACTCGGTCGTTTCCGATCCCAGCCACAGCCTGGCCTTTGCCGTCTAGGAGCTGCTTCACCAAATTCAAAAGGCATGTCGAACCAAATCAAACAAAAAAAGCCCAAACCCAATAGCCGGCATCGTGAAACTTCGTAGTGTCCCAGCCTAATCATATCATAATATTTCATTCCATGCGTGTATTCCTTCCTGGCGTGAACTGGCTGTCATAATGACGAGATCTTGCGACCAAAAGTGACAGACAAGTACGTTTTGAGTATTCGATGATACGGTAAAATTGCTTCATCACACATGCAATGCGTCGTAACTGCTGATCTGTAGGTGAGAATAGTTGAGGCTGCGCGTCTGAAGGGCCCCTTCTTGGTTCTTGCCGTGGGCCCTTTCTTGCCGTGGGCCCTTTCTTGCCGTGGGCCCTTTCTTGCCGTGGGCCCTTTCTTGCCGTGGGCCCTCTCTTGTCCACGGGAGTGGTATGCCGCTAGGGGACGAAATTCCGTGGTTGACAAAAAGGATCATATGCGTCGATATGGGCCCAACATGGCGAAGGGCCTGACGTTGCGATATCGCGAGAGTCGATGGCGCTTTGCCATGTTCGTATCGGAATGTAAATCCCGAGTGTGGCTTCGAAAATCTCGGCCGTATCCTTCTGGGATATTCAAAACCAAATGGATTTCAGTTGAGGACTCGGGATCAAATGGTCATGTTGGCAATATGCTCGGGTGAGGAGGTTCTTCGCCTTCTTCGATTTTTGGCGGCATCACATTTCTCCATGCGTCTCCTTGCCCGGCCGCTCCTGATGTAGCCCCGGCCAATTGGTCGGCGCCACCATTAATTGTCTCAGATATTTCGCCATTCTTTGGCTCGGTCTTGTTGACTACTTTGAGCTGGGCTGGCGATTTTGAGCCTTTGTCACTTTGATTTAGAGGTTTGCGAGGTGATACGCGTCCGTTCTGCATTCACAATGCATGTTAGCTGCATCTCCCGCTTGTCCAATCACGCCCTTGTGTGGTAGGGCTGGAAGTCACTCACCTGTTTGGCCCACCGCAGACCACAGCTGTTACACAAATCACGGTTGCCACTTGGGCCTCGTCTCCATTCCGGTGTGACTCGAGTGTGGCAGTTGGCACAATCCTTTTCGATCTGGCCAAGCCCTTTTCTCCTCTTACGCTTCTTCTTGCGACTCAGCAATGCTTGAAGCTCCTCCGCCAACAACCGATTTTGACGCTCCATCTGCCTCAGTTCAAACTGCCAGCTGGAACTTCGGGTAGTTTTCAGCTCATCGAAGATGTTGTTCTCCGAGGCCAGGGCCTCGTCTTGGTTGCCTAGACTCAGGGCGTGGTTGCCTGCCTGCGAAAGCGGGCCGGGATGTTCCGTGAGACTCCTGACAGACCCGTCCGGACGTGATGCTGGAGTTCCAGACCCCGCCGATGCTCGGTCACCCCTTGATGTTGTCGCCGACGCCGACTTCTGACTCAAGAGTGCAGCGCGCGTCATCTTTAGGAGGCGGGTCTGTGCAAGCAGGAAGGTGGGCTTGAAACCAAGCCGAGCATCGCCGGGATAGAGTGTCGTTTGTGCGTGAAGGACCTGGCCTCTCCGATTCTGAAGATCATGCCTGAATGTCACCTTCTCGCCAGTTCGTGCGATTTCAAGCGTACGTAGGAACTCCTTTTTGGAGTCTGGTCTCATCAAAGCCTGTAAACTTGTTCCGACAAGGTCTTCAGGAAGCCGGTCGAGCATGACTCGAGAGGTAGAAGACACATGCAAAAGCATCCCCGATGTTGAGATCTTGGACCATAACTCGCTCTCGCCGAGATTGCCATCTGTCGAGAGCTCGGTCCGATCCAAGGCATAGACCGGTCTCTCTCGTCCGGCAAGAATGATAAATTTCCTGCCCTTTCCCTGTTCGATGTATAGAGTCCCGTGGGCCTCAAACCACGTGTACCCACTGAATTTCCTGCGAATCCGATAGACCACGCTCACGGGCTCCCCAGGGGGGGTGTCCTTCAACTCTCGGGTAACCGGTACAATGTCACTAGGGTGGCAGATCGAGGATAAGCCTACGCCGACAAGTTCACTGGGATCGTACTCTAGGACTCTTCGGCTTGCAGGAGATACGTAAAGGAACAGTCCTTTTAGGGAAAGGACATGCACAACATCGTCGTTGTTTTCCAGCAGGACCTTGTCCCAGACGCGTTTTGACACCTCCAACTCGCCACGCCCGAGAGTGCCCAAAAGCCTGGACACTTCGTCCGGAGACACAGTCTGGCCTATGTCGTGCAGCGCCTGAGTTGGATCGGGTGGGGTGGGAAGATGGTAAGCTGGCAGCGAGCTTCGATTGTAGTTGATCTCATAAGTTCCGTCTATTGGACAAGTTAGTACGGCTTTGCCTGTACGATTTGCGAGTCTTGGGAGCAAGTCCTACCTGGGTTCTTCCCGGACACGGAGCTTGGCTGCTCGACAAGATCGACCTGGAAACCAACATAAAACTTATAATCTTCGGAGTCAAATCGGATCGGGATCATGGTAAGGAGGTTCATGAATGGTTGTCCGCCCTTTCGATAATTGATCAGACTCAATTGTGCTTCTGCCCTTCTCGAGATTTGGTTCTTCAGATAGAGAACCGAGCTGTCATCGACGTATTTCCGCTTCACTCCCGACTGCACTATTCCATCGGGCGCCTGGAGAAAGCGACAATTTCGACCGAGAATTTCATGTTTCGTATACCCTGTCAGACGCTCGAACATTTCTGAACAATAAACGATGGGTAGATCAAATTTCTCAATGTCGCAAACAACAAATGCACAGGATAAGTCAACGGGGCCAATGTTAATTTCGGGTCTTGGTCTCGTGGCAACTCGCATCTATCGCGACTGTTAACGAAATCCAGGAGCACAATTCCAGGACTTGACTCACCAGAACTCCAAGCATATCAAACCCGCTAGAAGAATAGGCGTTGGCAAACTTGGGATGCTGAAGCTGCCCACCTTGCACTGGCGGCATGTGAGGCAGAGCCGGAGGGTTCATAGTCCTTAAGGCGGCATTAACATCTAAGGGAAGCACATCAGTATGGGGGACAGCCAATGCCCGACTTTGCAAGGTCATGGGTACCTTTTGAGGAAAAAGCTATTGGAACATCTACGGATCGTCTTCTGTTCGGAGAGTCCTGTATGTGGATGGGGGAAGCCATTGCGGAGAGAGGAGCCGGTGCAATAGCGGTAATGGGGGTTTGCCTTCGGAGTTGCTGAGAAGTCCCTGGGAAACCTTCGGGCATTGAGGACATAGCTGGGACCATAGTAGCCATGGAATTTGGACCAGGGGGGCTCAACGAACCGCCGCCCGGATCATGGTTGACGGGTTGATAAGGAATCGAGAAGCTTTGTTCTATTGGGGACGCTGAATAGATGGCATCCTGCATCGGTCCCGATTGCATGGCTGGAGTCCTTGAGCTTCCCGCTAGGTGGTCAAAACCCATTGCCATATCCATACTTGGCGCGATGTACGCGGTGGATGGTTCGAGGGGAACGGAGGTGCTCGGCACCATAACCGGAGAGAAGTTGACGGGCGGCATGTGGTCGAAATTGGTATTCATTTGAGAGAAACGAGTATTCAAGGACAAGTCCTCCCGCGAACGGACTCGTCGCGGGTCAAGGGATTTTGGCATCGGCATGATACTGGGCGGGCCTATGGTCAGGCCGGGTTCGTGAGGGTTTGGATCGAACTGAAAATTGGCCAAGTCGCTGTCCATGGCCGAAGAAAACTCGAGCATCGAGGCTCTGCGACTGTGGTCGTGTGAGCCCGATCGATACTGGGACTGAAAAGTGTTCCTTCGGCGCATCAATTCGGCGTTGTTTTGACTGATGATCTGTTGCAGAGTCTGCGCCTGGCCCAAAGCTGAAGCTTCCATGCCACTGGGATCGATGCCGCTCATCGTGTCGTCCTGCGTGTAACCGTCCATAGTCTCTTGTGGATCCGCCCCCGGATAAGGCTGGCCAAAGAAGCTTGAGAAGCCGTCCATGATGAATTTCCTGTTTCTTTTTACGCCCTGCTCCAATGGGACTTGGATACCACGGTGAGTGAATCGGGATGAGGGGAAGAGGCAGATGGTGGATGCGGCCGGTGGCGAGGCAAAGCACGGTTAGCCTGGGAAGGACAGGTCAAACGGCAGCAGTGAGAGTGGCCGCTTGCACAACATGCTTGCCGCGAGACCGTCGGACCCAACGTGCGACGAGATAGAGAGTCAAGGTTGCTGAGGTGCGCTAGGAGAGCAGAGCGATGAAAGAGGAGGATGCGTCGATGCTGTGGTGTCCACAGTAAGTTGTAGGTTGCCAGGCTTGGGACAATTACTTAGATGGGGATAGACACAGCGCGGGCAGCAGCACTCAACGCCTCAGCAGACACAAGTCAGGACTGTCGAACCGTGTACCGTGGGTGGTGGGTGGCCAGTCAGCAGCCGCAGACGCAAGCGAGGGTCAGTGCGAGAGAGGGTTTGGAGAGGAGGATGAAGAGGAGATGCCAGTTGGCGGATCTACGAGCCAGTGGAAGAAGCCACCCAGCGACCATGGGCCTCTCGCTCGCACCAGAAAATTGTCGGAACCACGCACGCCGGCAGCCACAAGCCGGCGATGGTGAATCTGCATTGCTGGAGCGGCCTCGCTGTGATTAGTGGACGAGGCGAGTTCTGGGGAGATTGCCGGTATGGATTCTAGCTAGGGAACCCTGTACTTAGGTACTTGCTTACAAGTACAAGTACTTAATAAGTACTGGTACTGGCGAGCTGGGTCCTTACTTGTACTAGGGGAACCATTTGGCGGCGACGCCCTGGATAAGACATTGGCTGGTTGCTGATTCGGGCCCCGTTGGAAGGCTTATCCGTGCCCAGTTAAGGGCTGGTGGGCGACCTGCGATCGGCAAAGACGGCATGACGAGGCAACATCGAATGAAAGAAAAACCCAGTGAGTCCTGCTCGCTGGGTCGGTGAGCCCTTTCGGCAGGTGCGTCGCCCTCTGGGATTGGGGATCACAGTGCTGTCGATCACACAGCCCTTCCGGACAGGCCCAACCAAATCTTGTTTTCGACTGTCGCTCTGATCGCACTTGCTCGGCGTGGCGGTCGTGGTCGGTCCCACATTAGCGTTTGGGCCATGGGAATCTGCGCTTTTCCATGCTCATGGCTTAGGCCTAGTGGTCCCCCTTTAGCCCCCCCCCTTGCTGATCCTTGCCGTGAAAGATGCGCCATGACGTTCTTGCACCAGCACTAAATCAAGCCACAACGCCGAAACACTGTACAAGTAGGTGCGCGGTGCACTCCGTATTCGATCAAAAGAGAACAACAATTTTCAAAGACATGGTCTTGAGTTGTTGAAATGGTGTGATTCGAGTGCTTGACATCCCTCACCGCTGATGGCTTGACCTACTAGAATACACCACTCTGGATTACAACAACAAACATGTCAGCGCTTTTCCGACCTGGCAACCTCAGGACCGATGAAGCCTGAAGCCTGCCTTTCCCGCCCAGCTCGCCCTTGGACAACGAATATCTATTTCATGACTCATCACATCGCTGATTGTCGAACCCCAAAGCATGTCCGTCTTAGGATATTGGTCGTGAGAGGTCCGGTGGTGTTGCCCAGCTGGTCAACCAGGATATGCGCTGGGCTTGGCCACCAGAGGCGCCATCTTCTCTCGTTGAAGCTTCTCTCTCTCCATTTGTGCTCGGTCGTCTTTCGTAATTCGAGGCTTTCGTGTAATCCCTCCTCCTCGAGAACCAGGCCCTCCGCCTCTCCCCGAGGTTCTTTCAGAAGTCCCAGCACCTCCTCTTCCGCCGCGAGATCCAGGACCACCACCTCGGCCTCGGCCACGACCCCGTTTGATGGTGCCATCCGCCCTGCATAGCGTCAGTTAAGTGTACCAGGAGAGATTTTCGATGACCAGATAAGTACGTACCTCTCGACGGCCGGTTTTTCGCCCTCTGGTACCAGCGGTCCACAATAGACAAAGAAGCCGTCCTTACTAGCCGCTGCTTGCGCTTCCCAGAGTAATTCGCTGTCGTCAACAAAGGGGTCGTCCTGATCATACTCCTCCACCTTTCTTCGCCGCCGACGTTTTGGCCCCGGGCCGTCGGTCCCGCTGTTAGCTGGCTCTCCTCCGTCATTGATTCCAGACATTGCTACGTCCCGGTCGTTGTCCGACTCACGCTCAATGTCAACGCTGAGATCTTCATCGCCGCTGTCTCCCGCCGATGTGCCTCCGAATTTGCTGCCTGACGCTGACCTTTCCAGCGCAGCTCCAGCAGCGGCAATCTTGGCCAGTCGTTCTTTTTGGGCGGCTTGACGAGGGTACAAGGCTGCAAAGCCGTACTTTTCCTCGGCCATACGGGCAAAGTTGATAACTCGGTTATTAGGGTCTTTCAGGTCGATATGCAGCACGATGTTGGGGCCTTTTTCCGAGCCCTTTGGCATGTCACTACCCGAATCACCGCCGAACAGACTGGCCGACAAAAGTCCAGAACCCATGGACGGAGGAGGCGGCTGCTCTTTTGACCGCGCAGGCTTCGGAGAGGCGGGGCGAGTGGACGCTTCCGAGGGTGCTTTTCTCGAAGACGTGGATTTTTTGGGCTGAACTTGATCGGGTACAACGCGGTCAGCATCATCCATTGTTGCATCTGTTGTTGCATCCATTGCCATTGAACTGCCATTTATCCTTGGCGAGTCGACCACCCTGCCATTGGCCTGATCGTAAGAAGGCTCAGCCTTTATATGATGCGTAACAACGGTTGTAGCGGTGGGAAGGTCGGTTTGCGGAGGGTGATCGATTATGTTGGAGATGGTCGGAGATGTGCTTGGATTGTAGGCCGATCTTGGAGGAGTGACGGTGGGTTGGATTGGGTGGGTAGGTGGTGGATTGGTGTCAACGGGTCGCTGGACAGATCTGATGGGGTCGTACATGCTCGTGGAGCGCGGAGTGGAGGGTTGAGGAGGAGGAGGAGGAAAAGGAGGTGCCGGAGCTGGAGCCGGAGCCGGAGCCTGGGCTTGTGAGTTACTAACGGGTCTCGAATAGTCAGGTATGTATTCCCGGATCTGATGGGGAGGCGTGAGAGAACGCATCGGTGGTTTGTGCATCGTGAGGCCAGATTGGGTAAACTTGGCGGCTTCATCTCGGCGGCCCTCGGCGGGTTTTGGAGGGGAGAAGGAAACTGGTTGAATCAGAGTGGATGTCTGCAGGCCCGAACTCTGACGGGGGATGAAAACAGTGCTGTTTTGTTCTAGCGGCTCTATTGCGGTCTTCTTGCGTAAGCCTGTACTTGTAGTAGCAGTCGCGGTTCCTCGGGGCTTGCGAGAAAGTCGTTGTCTCTTCTCTTCGGTTGTGTCGGTATCTCGCTTCTTTCGGGGTCTCCTGACGGGCTGCGCTGGCGCGACTGCGCCATGGTCTTGGCGTGTGCCTGCAGCTGTGGCTGGTGATGCACCTGAACCTGCACCTGGACTGCCTTGCGTCTGTCGGCCAGCGAAGCTGTTTGCAACACCAAGGTTGCCTGCTGCGCCCATGTCGCGATGCGCAGAGACGTAGTTCAAAGGGCCAGGAGTAGTCTCGGCATCGCTCGGTGGTGCGCTGGACAGATCGTTGGAGGAGCTCCTGGTGTCATGGACTTCCATTTTCAGCTTTCATCCGCCACAATTTACTGAGCAGTCCTAAATCGCAGGCTCACACGCAAGCCATCGACAGAAGCCGAAGACCGATGTGCAGCGGAAGGAGATAGGAGAGGCGTTGATGCCGGTGAACGAAATACCAAATCGATGGATTGGTGAGACGGATGACGGTGATTGGCAAATGGGTGAACAATTGGGGTTGGTGACTAGGATGCTATACAAAGAGACAACTGAAGGACGGAGTTGGAGTTGGTGGTGACGGATATGAATTTTACTGCACGGCCTCAAAGGGTTGTGAAAACACGCGCTGGAACGGGAAATAAGTGGTGAAGGCGGTTATGGCTAGCGGCGAGGATTTGCAATGGTGGACGCGCGGATGGAGCAGACTGGGGAACATGGAACATCAAAATTAGAGAAACGGTAATGTAGCATGCAGCACGGCAGAGGAGGAGAAGGAAGAGAGAAAAAAAGTCGAGGAAAGAAAGGCACAGAGGTGGGAAGACAGGGAGATATATGTATGAAGCCAAGCACAACAGCTAACAGCTAATAGCTAACCAGGGCTCATGACAAAGGGTTGAAAAGGATGGGACGAGGGCGAGGGGGGATGATGGGATGATGGGATGGAGGGATGGAGGGATGGAGGGATGGATGGGTAGCGAGATGGGAATGGAAGGCAACAAAAGCCAGAGCCAGACCAGCTGCGACAAACAGGCAGATGGTCAGAAGGGCAGGGTGGATAGCAAACGTAAAATCACCAGGCGCATCAGGAAGACAAAAGCCAGGGTAAGGAACTACAACACGAGGGAGAAGAGGGAAAGCAGGGAGGGTACGAGGTAGAGCGGGAGAGAGGAGAGAGAAAAGAGAACAGCACATGCGGAAAGACGAAGGGAAACGCTGAGGTCTGGTGAGGCGTGAGGCGTGAGGCGTGCAGGCCAAATCAATGGGCGAAATAGTAAAGGCGATCAAAGATGTTCGATGGTGGAGAGTGTTTGGGTTCGAGTCTGGGTCTGGTTCCTGGATAACGCAAGAAAGCGAACAAGCAAGCTTTAAAAAAAAAAAAAAAGGGACGAAAATAAAAGGCAAAAGACAGATACATGGGATCCAAATGACAGACCGCGACAGGCAAGGCGTAAGGGGCATTTGGTGAGGCAATGGGCGATAACAAGCATGTCTGACAGCCCAGTTTACAGAGTCATCCGGAGTCCCGCACTTGTCCCGCCTCAGTTGCTCTCCTTTTCGGTTTCATTTTGGTCGATTTCACCTTCCTCCTCAAACACTCGGCTACTTCCCAGAGGATTCTGAGACCCAAGCCCCTAGGCAACAACAAAGGTATCAACAACCGCCTACTCAACCACATCCACCCCCTCTTTCTTCGCTCATCATTTCCCGGGGGTGTCTGGTTATTGAATCTCTCAGCAGGAACTCCTCCAAGATCGGATTCACCAACCAGACCCACCGGGGTGGCTGCCAGATCCCGGCCCCCCCCCCTCCCCGACCCCTGCTGCAGGCTACAAGTACTTAGTGGCTTGCGCCAAGTCGGCTATACCATTCCGCACGCACAATCTGATATCCCAAAGTACATAGGTATGTGGCACTGTTCAGCACGGTTCCCTCTTCGGTGCCTCTGTCCAATAACACGACCAACGGCTTGCCGCTACTCGCTGATCTTGCATTAGATTACCAGTCACTTTCACAAAGGTGCAGCGAGCTGTGCGTCTTGGGCCTTGAAAATATGAGGGGAGCACACCGCAAACGCCACCAAACTGCGCTATATACCCTGTCGCCCACCCTCATTGGCCTCGCCGTCGAATTCACCGCAAAGCCTCGGCTAGACCGCATTCGTGCTAATTAATTCAAAGTAGACCAACAGAACTGCGCGAGCGCGGCTCCGGCCTCGACAAACGTTCTCTTTGCGCGAGTGGCAGCACCATGGCCATACCAGGTCAACGCTTCGAATTGGATCTCGAGGCCGATGATTTCACACTTAAGCCTATCGACCAAGATGCATACCAACCCTCGCACTCTGCATTCAGCATCAAAGAAATCCAAGAGCACGATTCTGACTCTGTTCCTCCTGCGCCTTCGCTAAAATCCTCCAAAGCCGGTTTCCCAGAGCACAAACCACGCCGCCACGTGTCTGCTTTCAAACAAAGGAACCAATCTGGGAAATTACCCCCTCGTCCCTCGATCCCTACCACAGTCGAGCCTTCAGATCAAGCAATCAGGCATCATGTGGGCAAGAAGTATGGGCTCGACATGGATCAGCAGCAGAAGGCCGAGATCAGTGAGGAAAACAAGAGACGCATAGCCGAAATGTCGATGGAAGACATCGAAGAGGCTCGGGCTGAGCTGACGCGGAATCTCAATCCGGCTTTCCTTGAACGCCTCCTCAAACGTGCAAATATCGATGAAGATCAAGTAGGCCAAAAGCCTTGGCCTGAGGGGGTTGCCGAAGGTGTAGATGGCGATCAGAAGCTCGAGAACGATGCCGTCGCCGAAATTGCCACAGATGAAGATACTGCTGGCCATGCAGAGTCCGCCCATAACTCACCCCCGGGCCCCTTGATGCATTTTCCCGTTCCTCCTCGCTCAGCAGGCGACTACGTGCCTCTAGACTCGGCCGACGCCTCCTTCCTCGCCGACCTCAAAACACATTACTTTCCTGATACGCCCCATGACCCTTCCTCGTTGAGCTGGCTCCACGATCCTACTGAAGAGGAGGATCAAGCGTCACTGTACAACCCCGAAAACGAGTCATTTCTGGCATCTGCCCTCCGGTTTGGATTTAATGGCCGCCTAATACCGCCGAAGGAGAGCTTAGAGGTGGACGTGAAAGAAGGGCTGCACCATCACGGTGAGGCGCCTAGCAGCGCTGGGTACACTATACCAGAACTTGCCATGCTCGCACGGTCTACGTTGCCTAACCAGCGATGCTTGGCTTATCAAACGCTAGGTAGGATCCTGTACAGGCTGGGAAGAGGAGATTTTGGTGCCAGAGGCAGCGAACTTCAGGAAGCGCTCTGGTCCGTTATCGAGAAAGAGAGGCCAATCGAGAGCATAATGGCTGAAGCCAACCGTCAGTCTGGACATGCCAGTGCCAAAGCGCTCGCGGTCGAGGCGCTTTGGCTGTGGCGAAAAGGCGGCGGTGGTGACAGAGGGATTTTGAAGCCGAGCCAGCGGCTAGCAAAATGAGTCTCGGGCAGTGCGTGCTCGGTGTGGATGGGATGAGGACGACGCAATTGAACCATTGGAGCATGGTAGGTGCAAATGACATGACGCTTGATTGAGGTCTTAGGATATCTTACCTGGCAGAGAAAGTTGTAACATGCTTCCGTCAACGCCGAGTCCTTTGGCACATTGCGAGATCGGCAGCTTCTCTCACGGCAAAAGTTAGTGTCTTGAGCGTCACGGCTACGGACGAGGGCCGAGATCCGTGCATTGACGTTCGTACTTCATCGGATGCTGTGGTATGTCTGACTGCCAGCTGGCGTAAATACATACTTGTAGGGAAGGGCGTTGGCACATACCTCCTCCGGCGTCAACAAGTCAGGAATGTGTCGTCGTTGCCCGCTTTCGAAAGCATGCCGGGCAAAGATTCTCCGATTCTGGCATAGACTACGGACAGGGGCTTGGCATGGCTTATATCGAGCTCGCGAGCTCATGGAAGCAGCCGCATGCGAGTAGGCGGGTCTCGTGCGATGTATCGGCCGGGCATTGCGCGCCGTGTCGTGTTCAGTCTTCATCCCGTGGACCTAAGCTGAGCTGAGCTGAGGTTTGGTTGGTTGGTTGGTTGGCTGGATGGCTGGTCGGTCGGGGGAGTCACGATAATGACGAAGAAAATGATAATGATGACTTGTCCTCTGCGAAGCTTTTGCTCGTGGCTGTAGTCGTGAGCGTGAGCGTGATCGTGATCGTGATCGTGATCGTGAGTGTGAGTGTGAGCTCAGCCCGACAGATTCCTTGCGTTGTCGCTTGCAAAGGATACATCAATCAGTACGTCAATAAATACAGGCAATATAAATACTACATAGATATCTCTCTCTATGTATATGCGCATAGTCCCCGGAGGCACACCCACACAGACACAGATAACTTAGCACCCAGTAACTGCCTCCGTTACATCTCCACATACCAAGCAAGATCAACCCCGTCCTCGAGCTCGTAGCTCGTGAATCCGTTGCCCATGAAGCGGAACCTGTTGCGGGAGCGGTACCGGATGTCAAAGTCCTCGGGTCGGATGCGCTCGACCATGTCGTGGAAGAGCATCGCGCTTCCCGCAAACGTCGCCGTCACGCGGCCATCGATCCGGTTGTTCTTGTACCATGAGCGGCCTATTTTGTCGTCCCCCGGCCCCCGGGGTAGCGAGCTTAGTACATGTAACAAACCATGCTGGATGGAGTGGAGAGGGTGGAGAGAGGGAAATAAATAGAAAGGGTGGAAAAAGAAGAAAAACAAAGAAAAACAGAGAGAAGGGAGGGAACGACGCCGGGTGGGCTAAGTAGATAAGCCACTCACAGTTCCCAGTCCAGGTGAGGGTCTTCATGATCTCGTCGCCGTACCTCACCAACTCGTCGACGACCTGCTGCTTGGGGGCGATCGACGCAATGTCCTCCCTGGCCATCTTGCGCAGCCACTGGATCATCCACTCGGCCGTCCAGTCGAGGCTGTAGATCAGCGATCCGTGCCCGATCGTGGCGTTGGGCCCCATGAACATGAAGTAGTTGGGCATTTCGGGACAGGCCATGGACTAGATAGTCATCATGACGGAAAATGGTTAGAGTCATCGGTCCTTTTGGGAAAAGGGGGTTCCGTTTCAAAAATCTTGTAACTCGGCCCTTCAGACTTGTGACTTACCAGATATGATTCAGGCTCGTCTTTCCATTTCTCGCCCAGGTCGGTGCCGTTGCGGCCAATGACAGGGAACGGCGGCCTGTTGGAGACGTCGAAGCCAGTGGCACAGACGACGACGTCCAGCTCGTAGTACTGGCCGTCTTTAGTCTTGATGCCGTGTTCGTCGACGTAGTCAATGTGGCTCTGCGTCAGATGCACGTTGTCCCTGGTGAAGGACTCGAGATAGCCGGCGCCCGGCGTGATGCGTCGGCATCCGACCTCAAACTCCGGGATGAGCATCTTGCACAGTCGCGGGTCGTTGTTGAGCTTGTCGGCCATCTGTTTGGTCGCGAACGCCTTGATGTCCTCCTGCTGCTTGGAGCCCTTCCCGAAAATCCGGAACCCGCGATTGACGTTCCCGATGATGAGCTTGCGGTACTTCTTAAGCTCTTCCGGGTTGCGGAACCGCTCCTTGTCGACTTCGCGGTAGACCGGATTGTAGCTCGGATCGTCGCTGCCGACGAGCTTCGCCGGAGTGTGTCTGGAGACCACCCAGGTTGGAGACCGCTGGAAGCACGTCACCTGTGTGCCCTCCAGCTTGGCCATTTCGGGCAGAATCTGGATGGCACTACTTCCATTGCCGATCAGACCGATCCTCTTGTTCCGGTAGTCATATTCATGGTTCCAACCCGCACTGTGGACCTTGAGACCCTTGAAGGTGTCCAATCCTGTAATGTTAGGCCACTTCCAGTGACTCAGAATACCTCTGGCAGAGATCAGAACATCTGCCCATTCCGTCCGCTGACCCTTGTCCTTGTGCCTAACCTCAAGCCTCCATTGAGCTCTGTCCTCGTCCCACTCGGCTCGCTCGACGGTTGTGTTGAACTGGACGTCCCTATCCAGCCCCCATTTCTCGACCGTCTTCTGGAAATACTGCTTGATCTCCGGACCGGTCGAGTAGAAATGCGACCACTCGGGGTTCGGGGCAAATGGAAAGACGTAGATATGACTTGGCACGTCACATTGCACGCCTGGGTAGCTGTTTGCGATCCAAGTGCCGCCCGCGTTGGATTTGCTCTCGAAGATGGTGTGTTCGACCAGCGTGGCAAACTCCTTGGCGTAGGTATATTGGAGCTTGTGCGCAAAGATCATACCCGAGTAGCCAGCACCAATGGTCACGACGCGAAGCTTCTTGCTGGGCGTGAAGGCTGGGACGTCATGCATCGGTATCTTGATTGACTCTTGACCAGCGTGCCCATCGACGACATCCGTGGTCCGGGGGAGTGAACCGTCATGGCTTTCGTCTTGCTTACCCCTGGCGGTCACCGGCGGCAGGCCGGTGGTGGTTTCGCCAATAGAGCCCATGATGTTCCTTGTATAGATTTCTGCACCTAAAGTTGAGCGATCTCAAGATTGGACTCGAGGACAACAGCGAAGGTCATAAATAAAAGGCATATTGAACTCGTATCACCCTGCCGAATTGCCGACTTACCGGTGGTTGTGTTGGAGAAGTTTGCGGAGGTTTTGCCGTTGCTCATTGTTGTGATAGGAAAGTGGTTTTGGGGAAGAAAAGGAGTTCGGATCCATTGAAACGGCAATAAGGGTGTGAACTTTGCCGTGTGAATAACCACTGGGCCACTGTTCGCCACTGGTGCCGGCAAAGGCGAGTCTCTACTACTGCCGACCACTACCTAGGTAGATGCAATTGTGCCTGTTTACATATGGAGATCTCTGAAACAAGCATGCCTCTTGGAATACTGCCCTCAGCAGATGTGGTGATAGTAGATACACAGCGTACTCTTAGCTTAGCAGGATGGTTGGTGACACCACAGACCTGAAGTATTGGACAAGATAGGGCTTTCATTTGCATGTTGACTAATCTGATGAGGCATCTCACGTCTGGGGTGACCTCTGTCTCACCTCGATTGATTTCTGATAAATTACGACAGACAGAGCAGAGTCAGAGGCAGTGAGCAGTGATCAGTGCTCATAGTCAGGCCAGCTTCGGTCAGAACACTATGTAGGGAATTAGTAGTATGGAATCATCCGTTTCTTTTGCCCTGTCCAAGACAGAATGTTGCGCGGCATCAACGGTTTCGTTTTGCTGACTGCTTGTGCTTGATCCATCCACACTATACGCCTGGTGTCGGGCAGGATTGTGGAATCATGACGTTCTGATATTTGTCCTTCAGACGGACTGTATAAGTATGTTGACCAAGGTTTAAGGCTCTCCGTCTCCTCCGGCACATCAACATTTTCTCCGTCACAGATAGTCTACTGTGATAGCCTCGTCAAAGCCATCACGGTCAAGCCTTTGGACAGAAAATATCATGGCTCCTGAGAAACGCACCGTTCTGATAACTGGGTGTTCCGATGGCGGCCTCGGTGCCGCCCTCGCACTGGCCTTTCACAAACATGGCGACCGCGTCTTTGCAACGGCGCGCACTCCTTCAAAAATGTCGTCCTTGCAGTCCCTCGGCATCGAAACTCTGCCCCTAGATGTCCTCTCCGAAGAGTCCATCCGGACTTGCGTCGAGAAAGTCTCGTCTCTAACCGGCGGGTCATTGGACATCTTGGTCAACAACGCCGGCGCTGGCTTTAATAAGCCGGTCCTCGATATTTCGATCGCTGAAATCCAAAGACAATTCGAGCTCAATGTGTTTAGCGTGCTCCGAGTGATACAGTTGTTTTTCCCGCTGCTTCGCAATTCGACGACGAAGAACAAGATGATTGTGAATAATACCTCATGTGGCACCGTGCTAACCCTGCCGTTCGTGGGACCATATTCGGCCTCAAAAGCCGCACTCGCCAGCTTCAGCGAAACATTGCGGCTTGAGATGCAAGCATTTAGGATCAGAGTCATCGATTTACGAACCGCAGGTGTGAGATCGAAATTCTTTGACAACGTCAACGTCGAAATGAGTCCCACCTTACCGGAAAACAGCCCCTATTCGCCTGGCAAAGACATTGTCGAAAAGTTTATTAGTCAAGGTCCATCAGTGGGACTCATGGATGCAGACATCTGGGCGAAGAACGTGGTGAGGGATTTATCCAAGCGTGGTGGAAAAGGTACGCCGCATCAGATCTGGAGGGGTCAGGGAGCGACGTCCGCATGGTTCTCAGCGACGGCCGTGCCCGTGGGATGGATGGACGGAGTGGTTAAGAAGCTTTCAGGGTTGGATATTGTGGAGAGAAGAATAGAGAAGAAGGAAAAGATGGCTGGAGGTCACCAGGCTCAATGAAGCTCTTCGTCCTAGGTACGTCACCAGGGTGGGTGGCTGCTTCCAGACCTCCCAAAGGACAATGTTATCGGCGTAGAACTGCGCTTCTCGAGATCCTGAATAGGTGGGGTTTGCTCGGCCTCGTTCTAATCAAGAATCCCGGTCTTGTGATATTTTCACGGGCAGCGAAGAACTTGTGGACGTTGAACTTACTAGCTAATTGGCTGGATAGATTGTATCGGGATGAAAGGAGGTGGCTGTGCCTCGAGTTGGGTCTGCACATGCATGGCTCGGAAGTTCTCAGTTCTCGAGGGTGATGCGACAGTCCGGTGGGAGAAAACAATTACTATGTGGATGGCCAAAAGACAATTGTGAGCGACAGGAATGTGCGCAGCATCCTCTTTTGAGTGACAGGGCCTAGCGGCGAGGGTATTCTGCTTGGTACACTCGAATATGCCCCAACTAATAGCTAGCCAGCAGTCGCGACCTATTCAGAGAAATTGGGCGGCTACCCTGGCCTCATTCGTCTGCTGCAACGACAGCCGCTCGTTTTTCACAAGAGCAAGGATAGAGCGGGTCAAGAGAGTGTCCTTAGAGCCGCGAGAAGTTAGGTCGCATGTTCCAGTCTCTAGCCACTCAATGCAGCGGTAAATATAGTATGTAAGCATGCGGGCCCAAAGCGTTGGTGGTGAGGTGTTTGGGACAGATCTCGGAACGCTGTGAAAAGCCGTGATTCCGCCTGCACAGTCATGCAGCCTGTGCAGTCCAGTCCATGTACCGTAGTCCGTGATACAGACTCCACGAAGAGCGTCAGGTCCATCAATGCAAATGGGTGGGAATACGAGCTGCAACTGCGCGGGCATCCACAGCCACCACACGCAGACCCCACCACGGGACTTCTGCTCGTACAGCCGTGAGCGACGGAAGAGTATGATGAGCGAGCGCCCACTTCCACCGCTCCCGGTCACGGTACTCGACGGGTATCTTGGTTCGGGTGTTGGTTCGAAACCTTGGAGAGCTGAAGAAGGGACGTGTGACGGTGGTGCCGGCGGTGCTGCGTCCTGCGTCCGAGGATCCGGTACAGTGGTGGATACAGAATACACTGCGCCTTATACGGCATGAGTACATAGAACGAGGTACCTAGTGCGAGAATCGACGGAGCGAGCTGGTGGTGACGCGAAATGGGAAATGGGAAACGGGAAACGGGAAAAGGGAAACGTTATCTCCCTTGAGCGCCGATGTGGAATCTGGAAGACTCGGCACGTTGGGAGGTTAGCAAGGGACTAGTAGCAAGGAGAAGCTTGGACTCTGGAGCATTGGATCTTGAACTTGAGGCCAAGCGAGGCAAGCATGGCTGTTGAACAGCAACCAAGGGTGTTGTGCTATGGTAGCCGAGTTGCCGCAACGGGCACTGCTGGCGGCATGCCTGCTGATTTAGGCGTGCCCCACAGCCCCGAATCGGGCTCTCACTTGCTAGGCACGACAATTAGGGCAGGCATCGGCCTCGCCGAGTCTTATATGCAAGCACAGCTTCCCCGCGAGCCCCCAACCAGCATAGTACAAGGAGCTCTTAGACATTGCCCAATGCCTAATGGTTACAAGTTGGACTTGAAAAATCCCATTGGGAACCTCAGTCACATGTGGAGTGAGTCCGCTTGTTCTTGCACATTCACATCCCCCCCAGTTTTGGCCGTGTGTTCTGTGTGTTCTGTGTGTCCTCTATATCCCTCGTATTCCTAGGATCTCCTTCCCCTCGAGATGTTTTCTCGTAATTCCATGTCCATCCGTAGCGTCATGCAGCCATCGTAAATCAAATGAGTGCAAAGGTACAAAGTCCCAAATGGCCACGTGGATCGCTCGCCCTCTATCCCAGAGACCCAACGATATCCAAACAAAGAAAAAATATTAGTCTTGCTTTTGAGTCTGGACCGCAGCCGTGATGCGAGTGCCAGACGCGCTGATCCCGGGCCTGCCCACCTGTCATGGCAGTCCAGCCGCCACCAATTCCTCCCCCACAGCCCCCTAATTATCACGCAGATCGCAGTCCTTGTAGCTGCCCGGTGAGGTCACGCCCAGCGTTTTCAAAAGAGAAGCCATTGATCGACAATGACGAAAAGTATTAGACGAGAGTATTAGGTTCAACGCAGACTCGGGTTGGAACCAAAAAAAAAAAAACAGGCCGAGGACGACTTCTGGATAGCCTGAGAAGCCAGAGGCTAGGAACTGAGTTGACCCCCGTTCACCTCTGCATCCGAATCCATCCCAGCATGCGTTCCAAGACTGGGTCTTCGTCCACCCAATAGTGCTTTCGTCGGTCGGCGTTGCGAAGGTCTCGGAAAACATGGTCGTCCGTAATATCATTGAGTTCCTGGTTTAAAATTAAAAAACAAATCAGCTTTCTTCTTGCTCCCCTTTTTGTTTCCATCTCTTTTTGGGATATTGGGGGCCACCGTCTCTGCGCGGTGCGCTGATCATTTCCTCCTCTGGTCCTTCTAAACCACATGGCTTCGCTAGCTAACCAAAGGGAACAACGGTGACACGGTGTGGGGAAGTGTGCCGATCACCCTTGAACATTTCTGATGTAGAACATGCAACGTACCTGGCGAAGTCTCTGGTCAATGGCCCGGAGACCGGTCGCGTGTCTGGGGCTTGGCTTCTCTCCTCGCAGGAGCTGAGCGCGCAGTTGCACCCAGCGCATCGCCGCAGACCCTCGCAGATAGATTTTGTGGGCTTGGAACCTTCTCGTAGAGGCATCGAGGATAATTCTATCCAGCTGCTTGTCAGTATACTTCTCTGACTCGGTACGTAAATCTTGTCGTACCGTTGTAGAGACGCCTTCTGGACTTCGGTCTCGGGGATGCTGCCAGACTGAAGTCCAAGGTTGCCCGGATTAAAGTGGCCCGCGAGAACTGCCTGCGACTCAGCGGCACACTGTCTCAAGACCACATAGCCGTCCAGGTAGTAGGATTCCTGGTCTGGAGGATTGGCCTCACTGCGCGTGATGAGCGAGTTGATGTGGATTTGCAACGTTCGGAAGTCGTTCATGATCTCCATGACGCGCAGTGCGCGGGCTTCGTTGACTGCTATGTCAGTTAGCCAGAAGGCTCTTGGTGTGGGCGGTTCTCGCATGTATGAGGCGAGCAATTACGGTCAGACGCACGTCCATCAGCCATTGCGAAAGGCGAGTTGGCCAAATCAAGAGAAGTTTGGTGGTAGTCGACAGGCAGTGGCTCGACGGACGGCGGCGCAGGTTCAACAGCTTTTGTTTTCGCTTCGGGGGACTTTTGATTGTGCTTCGCAGCCAAGTCAGGAATCTTCGCAGTAAGGAGAATGAGGTCTCGGACCGTTGGCTCAGCCCTCTGGTCAAGTTGTCGGATGGATGAAGCCTGAGGAGAGGAAAGCAAGTGTGGTTGCGGCGAGGAAAGCATTCTTCTTAAAGACAATCGCCGTCCACAGATGTCATATACAGCTTGGGATCAAGAGGGACAATGGCCCGAAGGGATAGAGACGGGTACAGAGAAGGGTTTGTGGACTCAATCTCGTGGCTTTACCAGCAGGCGACCAGTCAGGAGGATAGGAGCGGTCATGAAGATAGGGGACCGGGCCGTAGCGTCATGGGAAAATGGAGCAGGCCTCCCAGCTGTATGAGAAATCCAACAGAAGAGGATGTTAGGATGGGAGCGACGGTGAAGCTGGAGGCAAGTTTCACAGCACTAAGCCAGGGCAGGTTCAATGAGGCAGAGGAGAATAGAGGCAAGCACCAAAACGGTCGACACGGCTGTAGACGGCAGCCACAGCGCTTGGATTGATGCACACTGACTATTGGACACTGCCTCAATCGCAGAGCACGTCGGAATGATGCAGCTCTGGCGGTGGATCAGTCGAGGCTCTGCTGTAGACACCGACTGTGTGCTGTATTGATCAGCAGGCGGCTTGCAAGCCACGGGGTCGAGAGAGTTCTGGATCATGATCATTGACCATGACTGGGCCGATGGAGACCTGGGTTTAGCAACATGGAAATCGCAGACGAGGCGTTTGAAAATGACCATGTGCAGGACAAGTTAGAGCAACTGTAGAGAGGTGGGGCTTGGCCTACCTAGGATGATGAAAATGTTCGTGTGAGTGGAGGATGCAGGACGAGAGAGGGGGAAGAGCGGTAGGCGGGTTGCCAATAGGCGAGTTTGCTGCCTGCCAATCAAGCTACAGCATCTGGGCAAGCTTTAGCCCTTGGGGTGGCCCTTGGCTGCCCGTCCCTAAGCATTGGGATTTAGGGAACTACCTAGATGCCCTGATGGGCCCCGTTCAGGTCACGCCATACCCAACGTGGGCGCTCAGGTCAACCGTTAAGCTTCCCCACCATGGCCCAATTGGGGCAGCTGAGCAGAATGGCGTCCATGGCACACGCAGACTGTGAGAAAAAGAGGCACCAGAGGCTGCCCTCTTGCGGCAGGAACTGACCCAGGTCCCAGGTCCCAGGTCCCAGGGCACGCACATGGCGCTGCGAACGATGGTGCTGCAAGCTGCAAGCTGAAAACTCTTCTGTTTCCATCCACGCCCATCGACTGGTCGACCTCTATTTTCATCATCCACTCCAGTACCTCGCTTCTGCAAACCTGCAGGGGTCTATTTCGCGCACGGCTGGTTGGCGCAATTGGGAAAGGATGTCAGAATGGCAAAGCATGGTGATTGAGTCGGCGGCTTGAATTTCCTGGGTTCAAGCCTCACACACCATCTCAACAACACGAGACGCACGACGCACGACGCACGACACACACGTCTCCCTACGCCCATGCACAGCTCCTGGATCAATGGTTTTTCCATTTCCTCATCTCTGTTCCAGCTTTACAGCAGCCACAGGAACGCCACAACTGTCTGAGGCCGGCTGTGCTGACTGTTCTCGCAATTCCACGCCTAGACACGGCAATGAGGCTGGGACAAGGTTCATCCACCCCCCCCCCCCCGAGGACCTGAGACGCGCCTGACGCTCTAGTGGCAGTCACTCAGGCCAAGAGCCGGATCATTGTGGATCCGTTCCAGGACCAAGTCCTGTCTTCGACTTTAGAAGCAACCGTTCGAAAGTCCTTTACGCCAACCATGACGTGCCACCCGCATCATCTCATATCAGCTCCGAGAGGCTGCTGAACGTGACCCGACCAATAGTCCCCAGATTCACTCCATGGTCTAATTTTCCGTGTGGACAAGCTGAACCCATACTGATCCCTGTCCAGCGTGGTTGCCGACATTGTCGTCATCCCCCGGGTCTCAAGCAGAACGTACACTGTGCCCTCTGGTTCGGTGAAGAAAGAGATATGCTCAATCTCGCTCCGCAATAGCCTGAAGACGTTCCTCGACTTCGTCTTCTGTCAAGGTTCTGAACTCATTATCGGTACCCTCAGTCCCATCAGCCTTCGGTCCACCCACGATGCCAATCTCCAATTCGCCCTTCTTGAAGTCAACACTCAACACGGTGCTGAGAGTGCTGATCCCTAGCTCAACCACTTCTTCCCAGCTGCCGGGAGCGTAGTCCTTGTTCTTCAGCTTCTTCTCTAGATGATTGAGCGCCTCTTGCTGCTTAGGTCCAGACGCCGTGGCTTTGTAGCCGACATAATAGCCTGCAGGATCACATTTGTAAAGTTGGGGGCCGTATTCGTCGTCCACAGAGACCAGTGTCGTCGCTACGCCCAATGGCCGCATGTAAGCCTGCGACAAACAATTAGCCTGGATCCTGCACCTCCTTTTCAATTAGATTTCGACGCACCCGTTGAGTATAGACTTGATTGATGTTTGCCAATCGTTTTGCAAGGACATCGCACGGCATTTCATACCCGTTTCTGTATCTGAATTCCGCAGCTTCCCCTCGGGCTCGGTCGACAGAGGCTCGAGCATCGGCTATTGAGCCGGTCATGACGCATCCGACTGAGGGAGAGATCTTGAAGACATGCGAGACCGAAGAGGGATCAATCAATTTGTCCTGCGCCAGGTGTAAGCAACAGCATGAATTGACTCGAATTTGACAAATTCCTTCGTACCGGCACCTTCTTTTGTGACAGCACAACAGCGCATGTCTTCCCCCTGACTCCGACTGATGTGATATTGGCTGCAGTGATTGCTTTGAAGGCATATTCTAGGTGTAGATGTAAGTATAGCTGAAATCCATCTCACTGTGCTGCGACTCGGGTTGGAAGTGCGAAGGGTTGTCCTTGCATTGCGGGCGGGCAGGTGAGTCGCAACTTGGGCTTCAAGGTCTCCAAACGATTGCGGAAACGTACCAACTTGATATAATCGCCCTTGGTCTGAGAAGATGGTGATATGTCGATCATAACCTGCGGAGCCTGATGCGAAGACAGTCAGCTCGGTGAGTCCGACACAGCTACAGTAACAAACCACGTCAAACATGTACGCACCTGACATCTTGACCTTCTTCGACCGAGGTACAATGAGCCAATTATGTAGTACAATGCAGCTCGAAGCGTCGTCCAAGGAATGAGGCTCGATTGAGAGGAGCGAGGTGAGGAGTACTTGTGTCGAACTTTTGATGATGGATGATATTCGCAGCTTTAGGCCTGGACTGAGTACGGGGTTTCCAAACGCGCAAGTCTCGCGATGCCTGCTGTATGCTGGCCTTCCACTAGCCACCGCAATCGCCCCCACAAAGGCCTTGCACTGCCACTTGTGGCGGTAAACCCGCTGCCTGGAAATTTTAGCATTGTTTTAATTGGTCTCGAATATGAAACTTCAGCTTCCATGAACATTCGACGATCTTTCCAAATGACCTGACCTCGGATCTTGATCAGCACTCCGGCTGAAACGGAACTTCAGACAGGCTCTGGCTCGTTTCACCTTCGAGGATCATCATGTCTCGGCCTGGGATTCCAGCTTGGAAGAAGCTCGGACTGAAACTGAAATACGCAAATGAAAACCCGGAACGCCCGACCAGCAATGGTATCGCTTCACCAGCTCACCAAGCTGGTCATGGCTCATTGAATCGCACGCAATCATCTACATCAGAACCCCCGAGGAAGAAGCAGAAGACGGATTCTAAATCCAAAAAGGCTGTCGAGTCAGCATCAGTCAAACCGGATTTGTCGCCTGAGACCACCAAAGGTAGAGAGGGACAGGCAGAAAGGAAAGTCGAGAAACGAGTATCATTTTCTGCAGACGCAAAGCCTGCCTCCTCGACAGGAAGTCTATCACCTGTTCTGAATGCCTCCAAGGCTCAAAAATCTTCGGCAAGTGTCAAGAAATCAAAGAAAGTCGGACCAAAAGTTCTTCAACCATTTGTACCTAAGTCGACTGCTGTGTTGGAATACCTCAACCAATATCACGCGGCACGGCCGGAATGGAAATTCAACAAGAACCGAGAGACGTGGATTTTGAAACATATCTTCTCGGCAAGTGATATTCCCCAGGAATACAATCTTGCTCTGGGAAGATATATCTATGGACTACAGGGTGGTGGGGCTCGTGAACGATTGAAACTGCAGAGCATTGCGTTGTTAGAAAAAGAGGAAAGGTCTCAAATGGAAGTCGATAGCCGTGGCAATGTTGCCGGTGAAGAAGGTGACGATGAATATCTCCGACGCTTCAAGGACGATCTGGCAAGTCCACCCTCGTCGGTTTTTGCTGCTGCAGGCACTCTTGCCACAGACCCGAAATATCAATCTTGGGTTCAGAGGCAATCACGTCCAATGATATTACTGTGGGCACTTGGCCTGGACAGTGATGCCCTAATCAAGGAGACCAAAACAAAGGTCAAGAAGAGAAAGAACAGGACCGCGATTGTCGACCACTTCAGCTCCAGTTCCAGTTCCAGTTCCAGTTCCAGCTCTAGTGATAGCGACAGCGACAGTGACAGCGGGAGCGAGGGCGAAGAGAGTGACAAAGGTTCTCAGGGCCGCATCAGGACGTCAAATGGGGATGAGAGCGAAGAGGAGACTTCTAGTAGTGGCAGCGATGAAGATAGCAGTAGTGAGAGCGACTCGAGTACCGATGTCGAGAGCGAGGTCTAGTATTGATAACCAAGGCGGGATATGTACAGAATCGACGAATGTACTTGGTATCCACGCGCACTCCCTACTTGGTACATGCATCCTATGTACATACAACTCATCAAAGCTGCCTGTGGTGGCTGTACAAGTCGTACTTGTTACGTTTGCTGTGTTTGCACCTGCCACCTGACCGGGCGGCTGTCGCGGAGCAACAGTGAGTGGAGCATGTTTTAGCTGGGCGACTACTTGTTAGGAGGTTACAAGTTTCCGTGGTGCCTGGCAAGGTCGTCATCCTCCTGACTGTTGGGTCTGACAGCCTGCGACTCACGGGACCTTGGCTGCGAAACAGTCCAGCCGTTCTTCCATCTCCCATCCCAGTCGACCACTTGTTTCTCTACTCTCCTATCATTGTTTCATCCCAACATCCATCCATTGCCTTCGTCTTTCCTTTCCTTTACTAGCAATTGGTGGCTGTGACGATGAAGAACAGTCTTGTCATCGCAGCAGCTGCGCTGCTCGGCGCCGCCGATGCTGGCATGCATCGTATGAAGCTTCAGAAGGTGCCTCTGTCGGAGCAACTAGTGAGTTCGGACTTAGATTCTGCATCTGAACACATCCTCTAACGTCCATCACAGAGCGCTGCCAATATTGGCGACCACATGCGTGCGCTCCGTCACAAATACACACAGAAGCCCATCGGCGGCCCCAGCGAGGACATCTTCCGCGACACCTCCATCCATCCTGATGCTCCCCATGATGTCCCGGTCGAGAATTTCCTGAATGCGCAATGTGAGGAAAAGCTAGTAGTCATACATCTTCATGTAGCTAATCATGTGCAGACTTCAGCACCATTGCCCTAGGAACACCAGCTCAGGAATTCAAGGTTGTCCTCGACACTGGCAGCTCCAACCTCTGGGTTCCCAGCACCCAGTGCGGCTCGATCGCCTGCTACCTCCATCAGAAATACGATTCCTCGGCCTCGTCCACCTACAAGAAGAACGGATCTGAGTTTGGGATTCGCTACGGCTCTGGAGAGGTGGCTGGCTTCATCTCTCAGGACCTCCTTCGCATCGGAGACCTCAAGGTCAAAGATCAATTGTTCGGAGAGGCGACCAGCGAACCCGGCCTGGCTTTTGCCTTTGGCCGTTTCGATGGCATTTTGGGTTTGGGCTACGATACCATCTCGGTCAACCACATCCCTCCACCATTCTACAACATGGTTGACCAGAAGCTTCTTGACGAGCCTGTCTTTGCCTTCTACCTTGGCAACACTGAGGATGGCACCGAGTCTGAGGCCACTTTTGGCGGCATTGACAGCAACCATTACACAGGCAAGATGATCAAGATCCCACTCCGACGCAAGGCGTACTGGGAGGTCAATCTTGACTCTATCACGCTTGGCAAGGACTCGGCAGATCTTGACAACACTGGTGTAATTCTCGACACCGGCACTTCGTTGATCGCTCTCCCAAGCACTCTTGCCGAACTGCTCAACAAGGAGATTGGTGCTAAGAAGGGCTTTAACGGCCAATACACGGTTGAATGCGACAAGCGCGACTCGCTGCCAGATATCACCTTTACTCTCAGCGGGTACAACTTTTCCATCACCGCTCACGACTATATTCTTGAGGTCCAGGGTTCTTGCATCAGCAGCTTCATGGGCATGGATTTCCCAGCTCCCACCGGTCCTCTTGCTATCCTTGGTGACAGGTATGTCTTTTCCCCCAACCTGCTCCTCCCGTCCAACACAGGGCTTTGCTAATATGCTTTTTTTTATATCAGCTTTTTGAGGAGATGGTATAGTGTCTACGACCTGGGCAATGATGCGGTTGCTTTGGCCAGGAGCAAGTAAAGTCATGTTCGCGATTGCGGAATAGTATGCCAAATTGTCGCCGGGACTGGGGAGAAGTGGACGTAGGAATGTTTGGATCTATCGGAACACGGGAACGGATGCATGTGTCTTCTCACACCGACCAACTTAATCGTGTACATCAAGCACTTCACGGTCCAGTACTGCTTGTGACGGGCAGGTGCTGGCGCACTTAGCAAAAGCGGTCTCAGGTCTCATATACCCATACCAAGTACTTGTTAGAAGTAGTCAGTGAATAAAGCCAAATTGTCGTCTCGAGACCACTCCCCTTTAGTAGCAAAGTAAGCATCTGGTGATTTAACTTAGAGAATGCAGGGAGTGAGTCTCGTGACCATCTTATGACAGTCATTGTTGGTCTTTGTCCCCTGACGGCATATGGCGGGGCTCATTTGGCTCCTCTGGCTCCTCTGGGTCCTTTGCTGCGGGCTCATTGGCAGCGGCTAGCGTGGAGTGCGTGTTATAAAAGACAGCTCTCCGGACCGGCTGGTGGAATTCCCTGCCCGTTGGTTCCTCGTACAGTACCTCGTAACGAAGCCCACAATTGCCAGTCGAGCTGTGTTGGAGCTCGTCGAACCCATCCATTGATCCCTCAGAACATCAGCACCACAAACTGCTTAGGCACCCCCCCGAGCCCCCATTACCTACCTAGGCACCAGACTTTGCCATTATTGGTCCGCTTGCGACACACCCTGCGTGTTTGCTCCGTCGTATTGACAGTGACAGGTATTCACCTGCGCACAGGTTTCAACAAAGCAATCAACGAAGTCTGTGCCTCAGCCTTTACATATTTTCCCCATCATTGTCACGAGAAGCCCTTTACTCATATTTCCCCTCCCTCTGAAAGCCGTCACTACTTCCCGCCTGACCATCAAAACAACGTTCCTCTCGCTTCGCGCTCCTCCTCCGGCGCCCGCGGTACCAAACGAACCCCCCACCGGGCTCTCTTGCTCGTACCGCAACCTTGACCAGAAAGTCACCTACATGCTCCGGTCAATGTCACTGTCGCTTGCACCGTGCTCGGAATGCTATTACGACTACCCAAAAATCTCCACTATCCCCTCACAATCACAAAAGTCGAAAAGCGGGTTGGCGAGAATGTCGCCCGCAACGATGACTTGTTCCTGTACTCCTACACCACAAAAGTAAAGGAAGGCAGTCGTTACGATGAGGAAGAAAGAGAAGTGAATCGGAAGTTTGTTACGCACTTCCCGAGCACCCTCGAAGGTACCATCAAGGCATGGAGGGTGTGGGAAGGGGACGTCCTGACCCATCCGTGAGTGTGCCGCGAGACATGTTGGACCGGTCACTGACTGGCGCGCAGTGTCGATGTATGTGAAATCGAAGAGGAGTGCCCCCACACTGTTCAGTTCCTCGGGATGTGCACCAACTGTGGAAAAGACATGACAACGTGAGTCCCTGTCCGTCACCGAGCTTTGAAAGCATGCGCTTACGGCGGTCAAGTGTGCAAGCAGGAAGTGAAACCACCGATGCAGATCGCGCTCCTATTCGCATGGCCCACGATACACCTCACCTGACCATCAGCAAGGAGGAAGCAAGCAGGATAGACGAAGAAGCGAAACGTCGCCTCCTCTCCTCACGCAAACTCTCGTTAGTGGTCGATCTCGATCAAACAATCATTCATGCTGCAGTAGATCCCACGATAGCGGAATGGCAAAAAGACAAGGACAATCCCAACTACGAAGCTGTCAAGGACGTCCGGGCTTTTCAATTGATTGACGACGGTCCAGGCATGAGAGGGTGCTGGTACTACATCAAACTTCGGCCGGGGCTCGCCGAGTTCCTCGATCACATATCAAAACTCTACGAACTTCACATCTACACCATGGGCACCCGTCAATATGCCCAGCAGATTGCCAATATCGTTGACCCAGACCGCAAATTCTTCGGTGAGAGGATCCTCAGTCGAGACGAAAGCGGCAGCATGATCGCCAAGAATCTGGAGAGGCTGTTTCCTGTCGATACCAAGATGGTGGTCATCATTGATGACAGGGGCGACGTATGGAAATGGAGTGCCAATCTGATCCGTGTCACTCCCTTTGACTTCTTTGTCGGCATCGGCGACATCAACTCAAGTTTCTTACCCAAAAAACAGGAAATCCAAACAACACCAAAATCCGAACCCAGCGGGCCGGTGGAGAATATAAATTTCACAGAAAACGGCGAGAACGGTGAGCAGGAGTCCAACGGCTTCGCCGAAGATGGGACATCAACCATACAAAATGGCACGTCGGCACTGGAACAGCTAATGGCTATGAGTGGCGGGGATGATCCCGCAGTCCGAGAAATGCAGACTAAAGGCCAAGAAGAAATCCTTGCGTTGCAATTGGAGGGGAAACCGCTTCTCAAGATGCAGCTGCAGCAGGACGAAAAGGACGAAGCTGAAGCGGCTGCTAATGGCGAGGTAGTCGCATCTCAGTCTACGGAATCTGACTCAAGCGACTCCTCGGATTCTTCCGAATCAAACTCTTCGGGTCCAGCAAAACACAAAGCGCGCCACAGCATCCTGAAAAATGATGACGAAGAGTTGATTCATCTTGAGGCGACCCTGACAGCTGTGCATACCGCATTTTTTGCCGAGTACGACCGAAAGCGGATGGGAGGCAAGGGCGGTCGTGTCGCAGAATTGACTGGCAAGCGTAAGGCGCCTCTGCCTTCTCAAGACGATAACGACGGGCAGTCAGTGGAGCTGATGTTCGTACCTGATATCAAGAAGGTTATGCCAGCCATGAAATTGAGGGTGTTATCCGGGGTCAGAATAGTGTTTAGTGGCGTGCTACCACTGGGGACTGACATCCAAAATGCCGACATTAGTACTTGGGCCAAAACCTTTGGCGCCACCATCACAGACAAGGTAACCCGAGATGTCACCCATGTCATTGCGGCGCGGCCCGGCACTGCCAAGGTCAAGCAGGCTGTGAAACGTGGTATCAAGGTCGTCAGTACGTCTTGGTTAATTGAATCTATGCAACGATGGCGTAGATTGGACGAGCGGCCATATTTACTTGAAGGCGTCGGGAAGCAGAAGCAGGAGACGTCGAGCGAGCTTGGTGACAACCTGGAAAAGTCAAGCGTCCCGCCGAATGATCTACTTCTTAGTTCATCCGAAGGAGAGACGACCGGCTTAGATACTGAAGACGACCAGCCCGCGCGGAAGAGGCTGAAGTTGGATACCATCAAAGATGAGAGTACTTCAGCAGAAGCATTTGAGGATTTTGTTGATGATGGCAGCCCCATAACCATCAACCAAGACGAATGGGCAGACATCGATGCCGAGCTGAAAGAGTTCATGGGCAGCGATGCTGAGAGCGAGAGCGACAATGACTCGGTCAGCTCCGCCTTGAGCTTGCGGGAACGGCGAGGAGCAAAAAGGAGGAGAGGAGACGACAGGGATGCCGACTTGTCAGCTGGCGACTTGGACACATCTTCGACAGCAAAGAGGAACAGCACGGGGAGCGCTCTGAAGAGGGTCTCCAATGTTGACAGCGAAGGCGACTCAGAAGCCACCCCTGAAAACTTGATCAGCCAGGAACAACGAGAGGTGGAAGAGGCGCAAGAACGCGAGGAAGACGAAGAAGAAGATTCGGATGATGAACTAGCCCGCGAGTTGGAGCGAGAGCTAGAGGAGGCCGACGCTGAGGAAGAAAGACAGCGAGAAACAAGCTGGAGACCTTGACTGATGTGGTGTCAGTGGAACAAGACACCTGGCTCTCTTGTGCGACTACCTTGATTGCGATTGTGTGTTTTGACGACCCCATAGCGCGGCGTCTGGAAGTGCGAATGGGACATGGGCACAAGCATGAGCGAGCATCAGCATCAGCATCAGCATTAGCATGACTTGCATGGCACATGTCAGAGTAGACAGTTCAGTGCTCCAAGATAGCATGGTCCTTAGAGCACGCCATGGGTGTGGCATGGCTGAGAAAGGTCTCTGACGACGAGGCGATATGGGAAAGAAAACAACAGATGAGAAACAGAGTCTAATTGCCCGGTCAGGTCGGATGTCTCATCGTCCTCGTATTCTCAATCGGTGTTGTTTGACGTTGCACGTTGACGTTGGCGTTGACATAGGATTGACACTGACGGAGAAACATCTCCGGGTAAAAGTAGGGCCGACACGTGATGGTTGTTGCAGGCGAGCAGGGTATATGTTGCGACTCCTCGAATGCCTCGCGCACCTTGTGCCTCCCACTTTCTCCTTTCTCTTTCTCTCCTAGACATTGTCTTAATGCCCTCCTTTTCCACGGGCTGAAGCGTCAATCATCTTTCAACTCCTGAAGCCGTCGGAGGTGGATCAGCGCAACCAAGACTTTTATTCGAGCAACATGTCCGGGGGGGGGATGGGGGCGAGCCCAACCTTTCCACAACCACGAGGATTCAAAAATATCTCACCGGCCAGTTCCCGGGCTGCCATGCAGGGCAGGGTCCAGGTTCTCGTGTTGGCAAATGATGTGTCTGCTTGATAAACATTGCTAACTGCCTTGGGATGAGCTCTCCGTCTGCTGCTCTCGAACGGCTGCTTCTGGTTGCAGCCATTCCATAATGCTCACTGTTTCCCAGCTGACTGCACGGTTTTTCTCTTTGCCTGGATGCTTTTCGCGTTCTCGTCAGTTGTCTTCTACACAAAGCATTTGGTCTACCTCCGCATCTTCAACGTCGGATTTCCAAGCCCTGCAAGGCCCTGCATATTCTCCTCCGGTTTGATAAGATCATCGGCGGTTCAGAGTCGCCAGGCCCCCATCCACTGAACTGATACGTCTTATCCCCTTCACCTCGCATGTCAGCCCTGTCAAAACTATCGTCCGCCTTTTTTTCCTTTTGGATCATTATAGTCAACCTCCGATGGACAAACTCTGAAGCTATCTGTCTGCTTTAAACCTTGCCGTGGCACCCTCCTTCTCCAGCTTCTAGGTTTTCTGGGTTCTAGGAATGAGGGTACGACGCACAGCCCTTGAAGGACCATTTGAAGTCCCGTCCGCGAGATAGCATGTTCGCTCCCACGCAATCCCATTTGGATGGTGCCCCTGAAATCTCCCATGGCGCGCATTATGCGGCTCCCAGATCTTGGAGCAACTTGAGGAGATGGAGCGCACAAAAGAATCAATCTAATGTCGCGCGCGCACAGCAGCGGTCAAGCACCGGTTCTACCAGTGCAACGCTTACTGACAATTACACCGGCCATCACATCGGTGCCGAGCCTTCCCAACAATGGCAGCCAATATTTCTCACCCTTTTCAAGCATATCGTCGTGTTCCTCGCTTTCTCTCTTCCGATCATTTTCCTCGCTCTCGTCGTTAAGATTCCGAAATGGTATGCCTTTGAGGCTGACTACTGGGTATCAAATTCTTTCACCCACTGCAACTTCAATGGACAGTTCACGCCGTACGACAAGCCGTCGATCAGCCTCTGGGATCCGTCCGGATTCTTCTACATCACCGTCTCCTGGGGAAAGATGGCCTTCTCAACAGCGAAATTCATCGATATCGTATGGGATATTTTCGTTGGGCGTGGAGGGCAGGCTTTTCTTGCGGTGGTCACCTTCAAAGTTTCGTCGCAGTACTTGGCCTTGGCTATGCGCGAAGCCTCCGTGTCTTACAACACATTTGAGTCCTTGGCTTTTGTGCCTCCGAGCTTGGGTAGGACAGGCCGATTGGCCGCCGATTTGCTAACGAACCGCGGCTGGCGAGCGAGGTTAATCATGGTCTGGATTGTGTTGAGCTCTCTGTTCGTCCTCAGCTTCTCAACCCTAATCACAGCCATGTCAGGGTACAGCAGCGATATCAACGCGGTCATGCCAGATTATGACAATGAGTCCATCCTGTGGACAAACTTTCAAGTGGTTCAATTCGCCATTAACGACGCAGAGCGTATTGGACAGCCTGGACCAATGTATATTACGGTTGGAGATACCTGTGTTCAGGAGGGATTTCTTGGTGATGATGACGACGACGACGACGATGATGGCGACAACTACGACAATAGCGACAGTCCATTCCCCAACAAGACTCGACACCGACGTGACAATGACGACGGAGCAAACAACGAGAACTCGAGTGGTCACGGCAAAGTGGATTGGGATTACGTCCCCGCCAACTGCACAACGTTCTGGCATGCTGTGCAATATGTGAGCATGTATGGCCTCAGTGGGCAGAACCACTCTGAAAGCAACTTTACTCTCAATGGGCAGACGCACACAATTGGCGCCCCAACGCTCAACATCACGACCTCCTACTCGCCAGTGGCATTGTCCACGTTAACCACCTACCTGACCACCTTCTCCGAATCATCACCACCGGCTCCAGGAGCGCTGGATTCCGTTTCACAGCTTACTGACTTCGCATTCTGGCTGTACGATAACGAAACATATCCTTTCTCCTACATCCTAGACAACGCCACATGCCGGTACTCGAGGTGGCATAACTGGGGATTTTCATTCCTCTTTTTATTCATTACTTCGTTGCTACTTGCGCTATGGGCAATTGGCACCTATGCATTATGGCTGTACACATATCTGAACGCCCCCCACGGGCGAGTCCCGGGGGAGAACACGACAGGCGGCATTTACAGATCGAGCTGGACGCTGGTCGAGGCTATGAGAAGAGATGTCGGGCCCGGTGCTGTGACACCGGAGATGAGAGAGGGTGAGATCCGTGGATTGGTGAGACGACGGCCTGGACGTGTAATCCAAGGCGTAGGTGACATCAACAATAGGGGTCACCCACAGCTTCTGGCCGAATCCGAGAAGAATCCAACAGTGTCTCCCTCTCCCTTGGCTCCAACCCAGAGAGCTCCCGCAACGCGCTGGTCAGTTCTCCGCTCATGGCTGTCTCCATCGCCCCGACCAAATCATCATCCGGTAAATGGAATGTATTCACCCGCGAACAGTGTGTTCACACACGCCGGCTCCACTTTCTCCTCATCCTCTCAACATCCGATTCTGCACTCGCCCGCTGCACCAGGGAGGACCATGACCATGACCTCGCGTATGTCGAGTCTCGCATCCCCTCAGACAGACTCACCCGTTACATTCGGCTTCTCTGCCGCCGCCGAGGCAGACATCCTAGAGGGCTCTGGCATTGTAAGTGGTGTTGATCCTATATCTGGCATTTCAACTGGAACAGGACCAACCGGGAAATTCCGCCCGAGACTGAGTCTGAGTCGAATCATCCCCCCTGCGTCACCAGCGAACAACCCACGCACGGCGTCCTTGCTTTCTCCGTCCTCAGCAGCAGCGGCCAAGTGGATCAGCTCTCCTGATCCGATGTCCGCCTCGGAGGAAGCTTCAACGGTGAGCATCTCACCCATTCGTGAAGATCGAAAAGAGAAGGTGGATGAGGGTGATGCGATTAGGTGGAAGAATGATCTGGGTGACGACTGAGGACGCAACCCTTCCGGCCCAAATGTCTCCCAATCTTATAATCTCTGGTCTGTCCTCATCTTGAGATTTTGGATCTTCGTTTAAAATATTGGAACCTTGGCGCACAGTGTTATCATTGGTGCTTTTTGGAGTTTGATGACTGAGCTCTATGGTGTCGCAAATGGCGTGCGCGCAACACATCAGAAACCCAAAGGTTCTGGGGTTCGATTATGCTAGCGAGTTTTCTCGAAGTACGAATTGGATGGGCAGGAAAAGGTTCGTTTTATGGATGGGAATGGATTCACAGGGGGACCCGGGCTGAGCGTTGACCTAAGCACGATCGGGCGCCATTGACAGAGGATGGCTGAGACTTTCGACTCTTTATCATTTGGAGCCTAGATCAATATTCGAGAAAGGGAAAAGCGGGAATTGTACGCAGTGCTTGTTTGAGATACCAGCAGCCTGGGGTTTCAATGAATGTTGCACCGAACCAAGTCGAATGCCAGCAGTCTGCCTTTTGAATAATTCAAGCGCGGACCTATGTATACGAAGGACTTCAATATGTAACTTTATTCAAACCTGTTCTAGCACGAACTCCTAAGATGTGGAGAGGCATTGCAGAGATAGACAAATTCAAATTCGACATGGTCGGCGCTTCGATGGCTTGCCGAGTTTTTAGCGGTCTTTGATCCGTAGCGAGGATGAAGCTGCGATGCTCTCCAAGGACCATTCGTGATTGCAGCTGTTGTTCTCCATCGAATCTTTCATTTCTATCAACCAGATGCTGGATGTGATGAAGCAAGGACTCAGCATTCATCGCGCCGCGGTAGGCCCAACGTTCACAAAAGCAGCGGCAAATTCTATCCCGGTTCGCTGTGGGACAGTCGCCGCTTTAGTTTCTCTCCACTCCCCCCCCCCATCCGAGTTAAACACCTCAACACCACGACATTGCGGTGGAAGAGTACAAGTCTCATGCGCAATCCCAAAGAAGGGCCTAACACAGTGACAATAGCCGGCTCGAAGACTTTGAACACTTTTCCTGCCGCCAGGAGCTAACCTGGGCAAGGCTAGGGCCTGCCTTGGTCGCCCACAAGTAGGCAGCCTCTAGACCAATGGCTTGCTTCCAGGATGTTATTCGACTTCACCGTGAACAAGACGCGGTGGTGGCAGGGTTGTGCACTCTATCTGCCCTGTGCAATTTGCTCCGGGCAAAGGGAGCCGACACGGCACGATGGCCCCTTTCCTAGACATTCCCATCCTTTTGTGTTTATCATTCCAGTCGCGCTGGCCGCCTCACATGGACCACCGAGCCTCCATTATCCCTTCACGATGTTGTCAATATTTCTCTCATCAACGCGATCCTGGTCCTTGTGCTCTAAGCTGAGTTATCGGATCGGCAAGAGCGGGAGCAACACGAGATGAATTCAAGGATTCTAATCGGCATCGCCTTTGCCTTGCGTCTTTTCGTATCTGTCTCCTGCTATGGCACGACAATCTCCGTTGGGATCAGCTACTGTCCTGCAACATATACGAGCTCAAGCACCAGCAGCGGCTCATCGACGACCCCTACGTACGTTCTCCTCTGGGATATGGCATCGCAATGCTAACCTCAGTTTAGGATCATCCCTGGAGAGCCGGTTTATCTCACATTTGCCTTGGGTGGCTTCACCGAATACCTCACTGGCAATGGAATGATCACCAATGACGCGCAGCAAGCCGCACCATTCGCTGTTACACCTTTTGGCCAGTTGATGAGCGCAGGCAATTATGTATCGACCTCTGGAGACGTGTCATCGCAGCCATTCGCAGCTTCCCCAGAGACACCAGTCATGAAGAGGCTGCCTCGGATTTTCACACTGTTCTCCATATCAGAGAATGACATGCTTGTCTGGAAGAACGATGCGTTCGTTGGTGGACAGGCTATCTTCTGCGTCTCTGGCTCGACGCTTGTCATCGTGTTCAATGGAGTGCTGCCACAGGGCTGTATCAGTGTACAAATCGGTGTCATTCCTACAGGAAATGTCAATCCATCTTCGACCTCGTCAGCCACAGCCTTGTCCCAATCAAGCACGATCACGACCTCGGCTATGTCCACATCGATGCAGCCACCACCAAGCAGTTCGGTGTCAACTTCTGGCACTGTCGATTCCATGTCTACGACCGCCTCGTTCTCAGAATCGTCGGTTTCTACTTCAGGCACATCAATGTCATCTCCCTCGCCGACTGATATAACAAGCTCGTCGTACATGCCTGAATCTTCCTCAAGTCCGGTCCTATCTTCAACAACACTTTCCGCATATCCAGCCCCGACAACGACCGGTACACCGAACTGCTATGACCGCTCGCCGTTTGACGGCACTGTTAACAATGATTATCTGATTTTGTGCGATACCGACCTCCCCGGATTTGATCTTGATGTGGTTCCGGCGACTGATATCGCTGAATGTATTGATGCATGCAGCTCACACGTTCCTGGATCCCAGGGGCCTTGTGTTGCGGTCGAGTTTGATATTGTAAGTTCATATTTGCAGCAACGATTTCCATGAACTAAGGGTTTCAGCTTGCCAACACGAATCCATGCCATCTCAAATTCGACATTGGCACCGTCAATAGAGGAGCCAATTCATTTGCACAAGCTGCGATAGTTGTCAACCGGCCATACTCTCCCAACATTGTCTTTTCGGATACTGGCGTTTCTAGCAGCCAAACGAGCGAAACCAAATCGTCAACATTTGTGTCTGGAATCTCCACAACAACAAATGTTGTATCTACTCTGACCGCCTCATCGTCAATTCCGTCCGTCGGTCCGAACACTTCTACTTACGTTTCGCCTACCTCGAGTATGCAGCAAAATCCCCCATCCACCACCCCCAGTAGCAGTCCGTCGTCTATGTCATCCACAGCTGCAGGAACAAGCAGCCAGGCAAGCCCCAGCTCTGGCCCTACTAGTTCGTCTGGGCCAAACTCGGCCTCGACTGGCCAACAACAATCCAGCACGATGACGACCTTAAGAAGTTCTTTGAGTTCTTCTTCTAGCCTAACCCCTGTCGGCTCTTCACCTGGTCCACGCTCGCCCACCTCATCATTGATGTCTGTTAGTGGCAGCAGTGTATCCACGGCCCAGCCCGCATCCTCAGGCCCAGCTACAGCCAGTCAACCAACTTCACAGTCAAGCCTGTCGCTTAGGAGCACATTGTTAGTCACTTCTTCGCGGAGTCCCATCGCAAGCACAACTGTCCCACTTACATCGACAACCGCAGCTTCCTATTGTTCGGCTACTCCAACAACGACCAGCCTTTGCTCCACCTACAACCACCAAGCACTCAATGTCAATAGCGACGGCTACTGCTACGAAGTTGAGTGCGCGACATCGCTGCAGGGAACTGTCCTAACTGGGAACTCCACAACGGCCACTTCGCTCAAAAATTGTGTGGGCTACTGCACGAACTATAACGTTGCGCTGCCATTTGGATGTATTGGCGTCAGCTATCTTGGTTCATCAAGTGGAAGCGGGCCCAACTGCCTTCTTTTGTCCAGTGTAACTGGGACGGTCTCCGATGCAAATGTCGATAGTGCTCGGCTGCTTTACGGCGGATATCCCTCGATCACCGACCCTATCTTCACGCTTACAAGCACCACAACACCTTTTCCAGTGTCTTCACTCTCGTCACCGTTTGCTACAGCATCATCCATCACCACATCGACAACATCATATGTCCCTACTAGTTGCGCGGCCGCTCCAACTGGCTCAGCATCGGCGTGCCCAGGCAACTCTCCCACTTGCTACTCCTACAATTTCCTCGGCAACAATGCCGACTTTGAGATAGAATGCGCCACGGCCTTTACCGGTTCAATGTCGCAACCGCTGTTGACATTCGACTTGACAGACTGCATCAACCAGTGTCAATATGCAAACGCTCTTAGAGTGAATAGTTGTCTTGGAGTAACATTCATGGTGACAGACGTGAGTCAAGGGTCGATCAACAATTGCTTCCCTTACTCCACTTTGACCTGTGCTACTAGAGGCAATGCTACCTTCAATAGCGCTCGGATGCTCTATGCTGGGTATCCCCAAATGACTGATTATAATGATCCGAGTTTCGTGTGTGCAGGTTCTGGGGGAACGACGGCGACTACGGCCCCGACATCTTCATCCAGCGCAAGAGCGTCAACAACAACGAGTGTCACACAAGCGGCGACCACGGCTTCCACATCTTCAACTACGGATCTTTCTCAGGCCACTTCCACTAACTTCCCACTCGCTTACCCTCAGGACCCAGTCTGCAACAGTAATCTCATGTCAACATACGAGGGTAGGAGAAAGATCCGCGCGTTTAGGCCCAGTGTCGGTGACTAACTATTCCTTAGGTGGGCAACTCTCAGTGAATCCAGCAACAGGTCGCTATTACGACATCGAGTGTGCGGTAAGTCTGCAATTGGTGCCACTATAGTCCGTTCATCTAGAGTTAACACGGCACAAGGCCGATTATACCAACCCAGGCAATAACCCTTTTGGAACCACGACACAGCCAACATATGATAGCTGCGCGAATCAATGTGACATTGCAGCAGGGCAGAGCACTCCCTGCTACGCATTTTCGTGGACGGCCAGTTCTGGGCTGTGCACCTTATTCGGCCGAGTCAGCAACGGCGTCCAACTTACAACCAACATGACCAACACGGCAGGAATCCATTCCGGACGGTGGCTGTCCACGACAGTAGGCAGCACAACGACATCTCAACCACTTCAACTGTATCTTGCAAGGCCTATTCCCTTCCCTGTAGGACCGCTCGCTGCAAATTCTCAAACAACCCGCAATTACCCGGGCGGCACCAACACATATTACAACGGCTGGTCCGACACCGCGCACGCCACCGTCTTAGATCTTTCGTCACAGTATGGGATTCAATGGAGGATCTTCGACCAAGTGCAGTCGACGTTGTGGGTCACTGCCAACTTCTGGTTCACGAACACCCCCTTAGGAGTCACTGCTGTGACGCAAAACCAATGGAGCACCAACTCGCGAAACAGCGATACTGCGCCCCTCTCATTCCCAGCCAGCAATCTGCCCGGATACACGCTCGCGCCGTTCTGGACGTACGGGCATATCCTTGGGGCCTCACAGCAGGGCATATACTACCAAGTCGACCTCATCTCGGCTGGCCGCTATGGCATCTCGATTGAATGGTTCTTCAGCCACTACGGCCAGGACAACAACGTCTTCCACGCCGTCATGACCTACGATACAGGCGTTCCGGGAGTGTGGAGCACGTACTTTTTCCTAGCAGGCGCGTCCTCGGGCCAGTACGAGGACCAGGGCCTCCGACAAACCGTCGGCGGTCAGGGTGGCCCGAACAGTGCCACACAGTATTTCACCTACTGCGCCGGACAGCAAGACTGCGTCTCGCCCGGGGCGAAGATGACCATGGACACGACAAAAGTCGACGTCTCTCAGGTCATGAATTACACTGCCGGCCTGTTCAACCCCGCCAGTTATGGCGTGGGCACTTGGACGTGGCAAACCAAGCCGTGTTGCTGATTATGCGTCGTGCGTTCGTCCTCGAGCCCTGGTGATCAGATCCTAGACTGAGCGAAGACCTCTGATTAAAGATGGATAGCGTCCTTCTTTGTAGAACTCCTGTCTGGCTGTTCAACCTGTGTCTTTTCCTGTCTTTGTAGGACCTTGCTGTTTCGATACAGTAGGATGAGTTTGGGCGTTGGTCTCCGCTAGCTGCCTGCAGTCCTTTATAAGGAGTATGTAATTTTGAAATTTCGAACCTTGAACCTTGAACCTTGAACCTCAGAGCTCTCCAAGTGCGTCCAGATACATACATACAGATAGCCAGGCAGGCAAGCAGACGTTACTTGGTAGCAGCAACATGGAATCCCCGCCACCCATCCGTTCATCCTTGCAAAGGAGTAAGGCGTACGGAGTTTGGAGTTTGGAGTAAATATAAGATGGGAACATACATAGCGGCACGTCTGTATACAAGTATAGGCCTTATTAGCTCTCGTTACAAATCCGCTTTCAGCAATCCGCCCGCCCCCAGGTCCTCGGGAACGGAACGACCTCTCTCAAATTGTTGACACCGGCCATGTATGCCAGCAAGCGATCAAATCCCAGGCCGTAGCCTCCATGCGGACTGCTTCCGAACCGTCGAAGATCGGCGTACCACTTCATGTTCCCCAAACTCTCTCCCCTTTCCAGAAACGGGTAGCCATTCCCGTTATTGTCACCATTCGACATCTCGGTTCTCTTGATAAGTCCCTTTTGACGCATAGACTGAATGAGATGCTCGAGTCGGTGTTCTCTGAGACTTCCCCCGACGACTTCGCAATACCCAAAGGGAAGGAGAAGGTCGAAGCAAGCCATAGTATCGCCGCTGGACTCGGATCGAGGAATATCTCGCTGAGGAGTCATTGCCGATGAAGGGAGCATGTAGAATGGCTTGACATCTTTCGGGTAATGCGTCACAAACACTGGCTTGCCCTCTGCAAGATTGTCCACGATCCACCGTTCGTGCTCCAACTGCAATCCCTGCTTCCATTCAGGACAGTGAGCGAAAAGCTTGCCACCACTCGATTCATGAGCTTTTATCAGCGAGCTCGTTGCCGATGTGTAGTCCACTTCGTGCCACTTCCCCGTGAGTCTATCCCAGCGATCTTGCAGGTCCACAAAGTCTGCATCTGTAGATCGGTGTTTCTGGTCCGAATAGTACTCCACAAGTTCCTTGCCCGTGCGATGCTCTCGAAGTGATTGCGCGAGATATGTCACCAAGCTTTGCACTCGGGATAGGAGGTCTTTGAAGGTAACATGTCGATGTTCAACTTCGAGCATGTAAAATTCCGCAAGATGCCGTGGTGTATCACTTTCTTCAGCGCGGAAGGTGGGAGAAAAAGCAAAGACATCCCCTTGCTCAGCGGCATGTGCCTCAAGATGTAGCTGTGATGATACAGTGAGGTATTTTGGTTCTCGAAAGTACAGCTTTTCTTGCCCCTTGGGCGTGCCTGATGTTGTTCCTGGAAGCTGCTCGTGGCTTTGCGGAGCTAGAGTGAAAGCTTCTCCAGCACCTTCACAATCGGACGAGGTTATCAGCGGCGGAAGTACTTGATACACGGGGTCTGGTAGGTTGGAAAAGTACGACGAGATTGCGGAGATCATTTGGCTGCGAGTCCGGTTGACCAGGGAGTGAAAGGCTGTGCGCATTCGAAGGTGAGGAACCGTTCGGAGAAAATCAGTCGACATGGATTGCTTTTGGATTGGGTTCTCCTATCGCCATGGTCAGAGACGGCAGCGTCCAAGGGTAGAGAGTGGGCCTACAGAGGTATTGCCATCACCTAATGTTTCAATCTTCTCGACTTGCAGTTCATGACTTTGTCCTGCTCCCTTAGAAGGAATCCACTTGCCCACCAAGGCGACGTATGCACCGTTGGTAATGCTGAAGCTTGATGTCAGAAGTCGCCCATGCTCTTTGAATGTGCATCCACATACTCTTTCGCCAATTGCGGATCCGGAAACATAGCTTGGACATTCGCGAGCGTAGAACCATCACCAATCCGGGCAAAGGCAACATTCTTCTGTTTCCTGATACTGCGCACCAGGCCTGCAATCTTGACGGATTCGTTGGCTCGTCGTCCGTTGACGTACTCGGCATCACTCGAGAGTCTGGCATGGCGGATAAGGGCCGGTGAGGTCGCTCTTTCTCCTAGGCTATGACCATGCACATATCGCAAGCAGGAGGGTGACGGTACAATCCTATTTCCGGGGGCCAGAATGTTAAGGGATGAGCATCGAGGCAGAATCTCGTCTCCGAGATGCCATGGCGCCTTCAAGACACGCCATAGCATCACGCAGAGAGGGGCAGCCAACAGCAGCAGCCGCAGAGTATCCGGTGGTGCGAGAAACGTCAAAGGAGCTCCAAGTCGCGTGGGCAACTTTTTTTTTTCTGGATAGGAGCGAGACGCGATTTGGCATCCGGATATCGCGGAGCCCGGCAAAACTATTTCTCCGTTCGGATGCCGAACGACACACTCAGCCTTGCGATCCACGATCATCGTGCCACCACCACCACCTGCTTCCTCTTTTCACTCGGCGATACTCCACATTCCCATCGCCACTCAGCCTTAAGTAAAGTACGACATCCTGCGACCCGGTGCGGCATCCGAGATGGATTCGACAAGTCCCAAACATGGAGACTCCTTGTGCAACGGAGTTCCAAGACGCGTAAAGTCATACCAGATGAGATTCCTCTCATTTTTCCTCCTCTTCCCTGCCTTGGCTATTTTATACTTTCCAGATGCGGCAGATCGCTGTCGTTCGCTTACTGCTGCCAGCTAGCGCCGCTGACGGACTGAGGACGCTCTTTGTTAATTTGTTGGTGTCATCCCCGAGCACTCTTCCTGCGTCGGATCCTCGCCGCTGGGTCAGTTTTTTTGCCATACATGTGCCGAAGATCCTTTCATGTAGTATGTCATGCTTTGATTATAAGGATTGTATATCCAGTCCGAGCCGTTAGCGATGAGACTGCCGTCGAGACTCTATATTGAGCCATTGACCGTGCATGACGGCCTACTACGAACTCTCTGCAAAGGTTTGGTGTCGGCTTCATTCGTGAAATCTCTCAATACCTTTGATCCTGTGAATATCGGTGCAGCCATGGCATCCTGCAGCGAATACACCCAGCCGTCTCGCGTAGCCTTGGATCAACAAGGCCCACACGAGCTAAAAGAGCGGGATGGACTCGCCACGATCAAGTTCTCCAATTCATCATCCTGCAGCAGAAACAAGCAAGCCAGTCCTGAGCCATTGCCAGCCACAGATTTAGGCACCCTTGTCTGCGTTCAAGAATACCGAGATTTCCTCCAGACTCAGCTTCAGTCAATCAAAGCAGCTCAGCGTTATCATGCCCGTTCCCGACAGCGCCATCGCCGCGCCAGCGCTGGTCATGAGCGCCACCGCAGACAAGCACGCAGAAATAACAAATCCGCTCGATGCTTCTTCAATGCCTGTGCCCTGTCCACTCCGACCACGTCAGTCGCCATAGGATCAAGACCTTGTCGGCTTCCACCTCCAAGCCAGCGCCTGGTCCCCCGACGACTCCTTCCCTCGCACCACAGACCTCGTGATCGCCGACCGACCAACCTACGCCGCCTCCTGCTTTGCTCAACCCGTCGTTGCCGCCATGCTTCTCAACGCTGCAGCCCTACAGGCTAGGAACATAACCTTCTTGAATCCTGGTTGTATCTGGACCGAAGCAACAGCCATATCCTGGTTGTTTGGGGAATCTGGTTTTGTGACTTGCACACCAAGGTCAGGTCGGCAGCAGGGTGAGTGGTTCTGCTGGGACAACAGTGGATTCTAATTAGATGCGACTTGTGAGGTTTGGAAGTTGAAATTTACGACCTTCTTTTTGCAACGTGCGATGACGAATGGGACAACAGCAGCGGAGAAGGGCTTGTAATTAGAGGGTCAGGTTTTGGGATTGCGATTGCACACATGCGGTGTCGATCGAGTTGTACAGGTGGGCAGGCTGTCGTCATGTCAGAATCAGGCTTGGTAATAAGGACGAACTTGCTGTATACCCTTGAACAGTCCAATTATTCGGGGCCCACTCATTCCTTTGCCTTGTGTCGGAATGTTTGTGTACGTTGCCTGCCATGGTCGGTCCTTCAAAAAGTCCCTCCTTTTGTTTTCACGTTTGCTTCGCCCGTGCTCTTCGATGCATCAAACGTCGAGCATACTCCGGACCACCTGAGGCGGTGATTGGAGCGAGTGAGTGGACGACGTAGGTTGTAATCGACCGTCTTGGCTGTAGTCGGACGGTGTTTCTCTCTGGTACTTCGGAGGTGGCAGGCAGGAATCTCGCTCTATCAATCGTGGCACGATACCTCTAGCATCGCCTTCTGTCACCGTAGAGTCGCTCGCCGCCCTATCACCGTTTGCACTTTGCCTTGGTTTCCTATACCTGGCATCTTCTTCTTCCCGTCTCCGCCGCTGCCACCAAAAGTATCCGCTTTCATCCTGTTCTTCTGCTCGGTTCGTATACACTGGTCGAGAGGTGTCTCGTAACGGAAGTCGTCGGGAGGCAGTGGGCATTTTGAAGACACCGCTTGGTGATGCGAAGGGGTTCCGAGACCTGAACCACCAGGCTGGCGGTCTGTTCTGGCGGCTTCGGCTGCGGTTCTGAAGAGATTGCATGGCAACATCAAGCCCGTCGCCCAATTCTCCGCCTCTCAGAGCGCGCTGGACGATCGATAGCTTGTCTTCATTTTCATTGATGTACCCGTGAATATTGAGGAGCACAAGAATGAACAGAGCTGGCGTGTACCCGAGTCCGTACAGCAAACCGACGCTTACTTCTCGACGATATGGCGACAGTTCCCAAACCCAGGATCCTGCGAGCATATATGCAATGCGCAAGCCAATAGAGATGGTGACGACAAGGAGGGTCATCGGGATTTTGGCCCTGTAAGCCCTGCTGCTATAGGCTAATCGAAAGATAACAAGCCCAAGGCAGATTGTTGCGAGGACGGCGGCTA